CACCAGTGGAGGTCCGCGTAAAACATGAAATAACAGAACATATGGGATTAATTGAAATAGAGACTGGGCCGACTCCCAAACTCCAATTTTCCAACACAATACGTACCTTGTAGTAAAAATAACATCATAATTTTATGATGGTATTGATACACACATAATATCTAAATAAAAAACTACAAATCTAAAGGTGTTTAACACTTACGTTAGTAGAAGAGATGGGTTGACACACGTGGATGACGGCTGGTTCCGAGGCAGAGGGCAGATTTGTGGCCCTCCGGTGAATCACTTTCACTACTCGCAGAGGTTTGCAGGGCCTCCCTGACAAACCCCTCAAAGTCCATATCCTCACTGTCACTATCACTGACTTGGGCTGGCTGTGGTTGCGGGCGAAGAAGTCCTTAATACTACGTTGACGACTAGCATTGATGTTGTCGTGATAGATCTGGACATACGGCTCCATAATTTTCAACAGAAGGTTATTAGACACTTCATACCGATGATTGACTGGGTCTTTGTCAAGGACGAGCTTGATTTTCTCCCCCAACTCGATGATTTCCTTCACATAACCATGGCTTGGTCCAGGTAATTCAAGGTTTTTCTCGGGTGGTGGGGTTCCAGCCTCAGCCATTGTGAGGGGAATAGCGGGCACGAGAGAACTGTATATGCAGTCTGAGAACAATTGAGACATGCCCGGCTAGGTCAGTGACTTCAACCAGTGGTGGCAGGGCACGTCATGTTACATTAGACCAATCACAGCTAGCGGCGGAGGGATGCGTGGGTGGTAAGGGTGCGTGGCCCAATCACAGTCCGATACGTCATATGACGTCAGCGATAACGTAAGAGCGACCTAATGCGCACAATGCCCGCGCCGCTTCCCGCGTAATTCAAAATTTTCATTCTGGCAAGGTGCCGCGTAAATGACCAAACGCGTAAATAAAATCCGCGTAAATGCAGACTATACTGTACAGTACTATGCAGTAATGTGCAGTATTTCAATACAATATCAGTGGAGCATTAAATTAACTACATGTACTGTACAGTACATGTTTAGTGAACATATGCTCATATAATTTTACTATTTGAGGGTGTACTGTATTTAGTAAACTAATTGTGCAAAATGGAACTTATGTTACATACAGTATATGTATTTGTATATGTGTTTATTTGTATCTGTAATTTTTATGTGATGGAATGTGAGGTTAAGATACTGGTCACACCCCTCTAGTCCGCCATCCTTGGGACCTGAGTGACAGGTGATGCGACAGAAATTTCCAAACTGTAGAAGTTGAAGTCTGGTGAAAAATTGCTAATTTTATCAATTATGTACCTGTACATGAAATATAGCACAGAGTAATAAATATAGTATAATATTATCTTGTGGATTTGCATTGAGAAAAGTAATTAATGAAATATGATTTTAATAAAATTTGCTTGGAAGGAATATTAGTGTAAGCATCTGTTTCGTGAACTAGCCAAGACAGCCAAACACAAATGAACTGGACCACAGGTTGCTGAATTAGAGGGGTTCAACCTATACTGTAGTTACCCCCTATTTGAGTTTTGATATGTATTAGTACTGTTGAATTTAAAGTTAAAAACAGATTTGTGAATTAATTTATATTATAATATTAAAACCCGAAAAAGATTCTTTCTTTAAGCGATCCACATATCTGGATAAATGAATATACTGTATTTTACACACCATCATATAGGCAGCCCCCTTAATTTTGAAAGAATTTTCATTAGTATAAAGGGTTTTGAAGTATGAATGATTAATGCAAATTTATAGTTTGCTGTAAATTATGTAGAATTTTATTTTTAGTAAGATTTAATAAGAACAGGTATGAGAAAGACGAAACCAAGTCGTGTTACAGGTGCCACAGACTTAAAATTTTATTTTGTTTGTGTGCTTTCTCATGGACTGAGACTGTGCCTATAATACACCATACACCGGGAGATACAGTGTACACAGTCATAGCACAAAGAGATATGGTCGTCGGTGAGAACAGGAAAAGAAAGTACAGTACCCTGTATAAGGAAATACTAGTTGAAATAAAAAATAAATAAAATCAAGCTTGGCTATCCTTAAAGACATTCTATTACCGCCCCAAAGAAAATTTTATTTTATTTGTCAAATGTGTTTCTAAAGGACTGACTGGGTGTATAAAATCTGTTATTCATAGCAAAATGCAGTGTACATAGAGATAGCACATAAATACCAACAAACACCGAAGTGAACTGAAAAGGAAAACAAGAGAACTCTAAAGGCAACAGGGCAGGTTTAAAGCCAGAGCAGAGGGCAGCTCAGTACTATCTATCTCGCCTCTGTGATACGGCGTCCACGCCTGTACACAATATTCCAAGTGAGGTCGCCTGTAGGTTAATATAGAATCTTGAAGTTCTTCATTTATGTAGTGTGAGATTGTAAGATATATCATTCAAACCTCTCACATGCAGGTAAACGTTCTCTTTACAATTCAGATTGACTGTTTCTCCTTTGCTATTGATTTTGCTATACAACTCTTTAACATTAAGTTGCCCTTTTTTTTTTACGGGCATTAACCCACCCGGGCACAGGTCACTGACCCACATCGGGGCCTGGGGGCAAAAATGTAGTAATAATAATAATAATAATTAGTTCATAGTAAATAAAATTTATAATAAAAAATACAAATATAATAATAATAACAATAACAACACTAGTAATAATAATAATAACCACAAAGAAATACAAAAATGAAAAAAAAAAGATCAATAGTGAGAAACGATATATGAATGTTGTGTTGTCAATAATACGAGAAACAATTGAGACCCTGCAAATGTGTGTAAATGAGGCAGAAAGTCAGATCAGCAACCCGACTTCCCCAGAAACAAACAATACCTCACTAGTCGGGAAGCAAACCCTGGACCTCTGCATGTGAGCAGGGATCGCTACCACCTCGCCACAAGAACAACAAAAAGCAATCTTAGGCTTTATTTTATTTCACACAAAGCCTGAAATATGGAAGTCCGCGTGCTATGTGGACTGATGAGATATATAATTATGTAGCCTTGTGTTCCGAGCTAGATTTGGTAAATTGCTACTACGACCACATAGTTGGCACGGGCAATCCCCGATGGAGGTTCATGGTGCTTAAAAAAAATGAACAGGCTTTGTGCGAAATGAATCAAAACCAAGGATTGCTTTTGTTCTTGGGTGAGGTGGTAGGCTGGTAGCAATCCGTGTTCACACGCAGAGGGTTCGATTCCCAACTAGTGAGGTATTGTTTGTATAGTGTGTGTTTACTTTATTTCTATATGAAAACGGGAAAAATAAATTTATCTCTTACACTTTAGTTATGTTGAATGTAATAGAGAATATTTACATAAAGTTTAGGTAAGCATTTCATGAACCTCCGGTAAGGTGTTGTGTAGGTGTATATCAATCAAGTGAGTTAGTTTTTAGTTTAACAAATTTATTGACAAAGCTTGTAGTACAGTTTGCCTATTCTGAGTAATTCAGTCAGGTCTTGACACTGAGGGTGGTATCACTTCTCACTGCCACGCATGACAGAGGTTCATACACAAAGAAATACATCATATTCATTAACAGCTATAAATGTATAGAGGTCGGATTCATATGGGTAATGTCACTGTTCACTGCCATGCAGGACAGAGGTTCATACACAAAGAGATGCATCATATTCATTGACAGTACATATATGTACACACACACATACACATATACATATATACATACACATATACATGTACATATATATACACATATGCACACATACATACATATACGTCGGTCAGATTCATGTGGGTAATGTCACTCTTCACTGCCATACAGGACAGAGGTTTGTACACAAAGAATGCATCATATTCATTGACACTACAGTATATATATGTCAGATTCAGGTGGATAATGCCACTGTTCACTGCCACGCAGGACAGAGGTTCGTACACAAAGAAGGAAATACATTATATTCATTAGCAGTATATATAGGTCAGTGGATCACATACATTGGAGTCATATTCTAATTGAAGACTAATCAGTGTGAGCTAGCAGCAAATTTGGGATAAAAAGCAAGAATGTCCTCAAGCACACCTGATTCAATGAAGTAATTACATAGTTCAAGATACAATAAGTCAGGTGGCCTGAAGTCTTTGACAGTGTCACATTCAATAATATAGTGTTCAAGTGTATGCTTTAAAGGTTTATCACAAAGTTTACATGCTGAGTGTTCCGGTATGGGTACAGCGTTACTAACTTGCCAGATGTGTCTGTATCCTAGCCTAATTCTGGTCACGACTACATCACATTGTCTGGTTCTGTCCTTATGCTGGCCATACAGTACCTCTTGTCACAAAATTTGTCATATTTACTAATGCTACAACTGTCAGGTCTCTCTGCATTTCTCACTTCTTCTAGATCAGAGTTCATGATTCTCACTTGAATGTTTTTAATTACAGCATTGGACAGGCTAAGGTCACGGTCAACATTTTCTTTCTTACATGCCTCATTGGCCAGTCTATCAGCACGGTCATGAGACCTGATTCCAACATGGGACGGATTCCACACAAATTCGATACGAAAGTTGTTCTCATTGGCAGTTATCACATTCCTTTTAATATCACATACAACTTTAGACATAAGAGCCTGACGGGCTGTTCATTGGTTTCAGAGCACTCTGAAAGTCACCCCACCTCCATTTTCTTTGAGGTAGTCTGTGGCTAAGTTGATTCCAGTTAGTTCAGTTTGTGTTGTGCTGGTCCAGTTGTTTGTTTGACTCTTCTTCTTTATATATTATAATTGCACTTCAGTTTAGTCAAGAAAACAACAACAAATACTCAACTCACTCGTAGGTCAAATAAAGATCTTAAAATTAATAATAGATTTACAAACATACACTTTATATAGAAAAATATATTAAATATTAGTATAAACCTGTAAAAATATTTTAAATACACTTTATTAACGTTGAACGAAGTATTCAAGATATTACTATTTATCTACACAATAGTTTTTAGTGATTAATGATGGCGACAGTCGTGCACACAGTGATCTACGTGTTGTCAATAACATCATCGCTGTGTCTTGTTCCAGAAGGTGTGATTTATCAAGTTAATCAGTAAGATGTATGAAGATGTTTATATTGCAGTGGTAGTGAAGCTGTTGGTGGTGGTAAAAGTTGTTACTACATATTAAAGTAAAGTGAGAGGCGCCACAGTGTCTGAGTGTGTTACCATACCTGGAGGTGTTCTTCTTTATCAGTGTGTAACATGGATACGTTTGTTTATTCCCCAAGTGAATTTATTGTTCCTCATCAAACTTAACAACACACCAGTCATCATTAAACAGTGACAGTTAACACAGTCATTATTAAACTGACAGTTAACACCAGTCATTAAACAGTGACAGTTAACACCAGTCATTATTAAACAGTGACAGTTAACACAGTCATTATTAAACTGACAGTTAACACCAGTCATCATTAAACATTGACAGTTAACACAGTCATTATTAAACAGTGACAGTTAACACAGTCATTATTAAACTGACAGTTAACACCAGTCATCATTAAACAGTGACAGTTAACACAGTCATAATTACTGTAAACTGACAGTTAACACCAGTCATCATTAAACAGTGACAGTTAACACCAGTCATCATTAAACAGTGACAGTTAACACAGTCATTATTAAACTGACAGTTAACACCAGTCAATATTAAACTGACAGTTAACACCAGTTATAATTAAACAGTGACACTTAACACCAGTCATTATTAAACAGTGACAGTTAACACCATTATTAAACAGTGACGGTTAACACACCAGTCATTATTAAACAGTAACAGTTAACACCAGTCATTGTTAAACTGACTTTTAACACCAGTCATTATTAAACAGTGACAGTTAACACCAGTCATTATTGGTATTATTATCATTTCGGTCATCCAGCGAATTTTAGGATTTTAAGTTTTAGAATCAGTAGTTTCGACAATTCTGGGGTAAATATTCGTCCATTGGCTGTTCTCAGGTTTTGGTATGAGAATAGGTTTTTGTTACGTTTGTTGGTGTATTTTACTCAAATCTGACCTTCATTTCATTTGCAAATTAAATTTTTTTGCAAAAAATTAACATTTCCATTTTTAACAGAAATGGTAATTTGCAAAAAAATGGAGGTCAAATTTGAGTAAAAAAAAAAACTATTCTCATAGCAAAGGAAGCAACCATCCTACCTAACATAACCTAACCTCCAAAGAGGAGGAGATAAGGAGAAGACAACTGACTAGGTGAGGAGTATAACCTCAGGTAAATGCAGGAAGTTGCGGACAGCCATTGGACGAATATTAACCAATTCTAGGTTAGGCTAGGTTGCATTTGAGAAGCAGTACTGTGATTAATTTTCAAGTAAAATCGTTTTGGTCATCCACCTATTTGGAAGTTGAAATTATACTTTTTCCGATGGTTTTTGATGTGTTTTAAATGATTCAGACCTTTTCTATTACAAGTCACTACTGTTTGAGTTACCCCCCCCCCCCCCCTTTATCCAATGATAATGGGGGACCTCCAGTGGGAACCAGAGATTTTGTGTGGGGATAAACACAAAAAAGTAGTAATTTGTGATAGAAATGAAGGTCAAAATTGTTCAAAACACGTAAAAAACATCGGAAAAAATCATAATTTCAACCTAACTGAACTGATCCTAAACTAACCTAACTGGTAAAAATCGGTCACAACATTGCTTTCTCGGAAAGTACTCATTTGTGGAAGAAATGCTACAGAAGAAACGAGTCCTAGAATTGTCTAAACTACTAATTACAAAACTTAAAATCCTAAAATTCACTGGATGATCAAAACAATAAAAATACCCTATCTCACTGGCAAGATTAGGTTAGGTTAGGTTAGATAGTCAAGCTATTTCTAAACCAAATTTTTACCTAACGTTATGTGAGAAAAGATGTCAGAATTTTTTTACCGATAAACCGAATTAAATTTAAGTGAATTAACACTAAACGAGGGACACCTGTATAAACAAACTGACACAAATACTATAGCTTATTACATGTTCCCCATGGACACATGTTAATGATAGTACAGTATTCACTTTGTGAAATTAATTATTTTACTGAAGCCTCTTGGTATTGTACTGGGGCTGCATTTTCAAAAGCATCTATGCGAATGTATCTCTTTGTTTATCCTATAACTGGAGTTACAGTCTCCGATCAGTATTTTCAAAACAAATAGTTGGCAGTGGACTCCGTAATTGAGTCCGTATTCGAGGCCGTAACTTAAAGGACCTTAGCTGCTGCAACACGCTCAACCCGGATATATTAAGTCGCCATTTCCCGATTGCATAAAAAAAATTGATAATAAATGTTGTAATAATGCTTGTTAGACTTGTTTTATCATAAAATAATGAAGAAAACTTTTGTACCTCAACATACCCGGTACTAAAATACAATATTACAGTTTGTCTTTTCAGTTCATTTTTTACGATAAGAAGAGGCTTGAGTGTTTCTATTTGTCGCGGAATGGAAGAGATGCAGCTTTTATCTTCTTACAACTTATCAAGTAATTTGTACCGAAATAGAAGATTTTTATTGTCCACATTTATGGTACAAATATTTTTTTATGACTGAGTAAGCTTGGAGATAGACCTTATTAATGTGGTATAGCTGTAGACTCCGCCTTTGCTAGGACCAAACTATTCTGCCAAGTATCCAAGAAGTACCTATGACTCATAGTTTAATAATACTGTACCTAACCCAATCTAAGTTCATCAAACCTAATAAAATGGAGGGTAAAAATTAACAGTGGTACAGCATTTTTTTTTCTTCAAAAAAGAATTATGTTCATTGGTTTTTTTATCCAATACAGTACATTGAATAGTGATTTTTTTTTCCTGCAAAATTAATAAAATGTATCTTACCCTAGAAAAACCTAACCTTACCTCATCTTACCATACCTTATCTAATGTAACCTAACGTTACCCTGCCTAACCTAACCTAACCTAACCTACCCAAGCCGCAATTTACTTGACAAACAATTAAGTTCTCAAGGAAAATTTCAATTTCCTTTTAAAAAAAATACAGTTGCAGAGATAATAAACTTTTTATAATCATTTCTCCAACATACCTATAAATCTGTTGATGATATATAAACATAACTTATGGTGCCACTATTATGCATTTTAAACTTTAGGCATTTTAAATTTAGGTTAGGTAAGGCATGTTAAGGTTAGATTAGTCAGGTAAAGGTTAGGTAACGTGGTTAATACATAGGACTAACCCACGAACAAGTTATTTGTATTACTGTTCATTTTCTTACTTTATTTTCATCAGTGAGTTCATTTTGTAGCTAATTCGGTGCCTAGGCACTCATTAATTTGCTCTGCTGCAGCGCTTTTCCCCGGGCTTGCGGCAGTATACTGTATTATATATATACAGTCAACCCTCGCTTTACGCGGTCCCACTTTACGGGTTTCCACGTTTACGCGGTACCCTGCCGAACACGGAATGCTCACTTTCCGCGGTGTGTGTACCCTTTTACGCGGAGAGCGGCGCGAGCAGGGTGTGCGCAAGATCGCCCAGTCATCAAAACATTACCGAGTTCTTCACCCGCCACCCACCACAGCCGGCCCAAGTCAGTGATAGTGATAATGATAGTAAGGATATGGACTTATATGGACTTTGAGGGGTTTGACAAAGAGGCCCTGCAAGCCTCTGTGGTGGATAGTGATACAATTGATACAAGTGATACAGGTGAGGGCCAATAATCTGCCCTCTGCCTCGGAACCAACCCCCCATCCCCGTGTGCCCAGCCATCTTTTCTACTAATGTAAGTGTTAAAAAACTTAATATTATTGATATTTCTCTTAATTATTAATTGTGTGGGTATACCATCATAAAGTTAAGAAGTTATTTTTACTACAACGTAGGTATTGTGTCTGAAACAGTGGAGTCTGGGGGTCGGCCCGGTCTCTATTTCAATTAATCCCATATGTTATGTTGTTCACTTTACGCGGGCCGCCGTGGGTTCAATTGACCGCGTAAAGTGAGGGTTCACTGTATATATATACAGTATATATATATATATATATATATATATATATATATATATATATATATATATATATATATATATATATATATATATATATATATACATATATATATATATATATATATATATACAGTGGGGTATGCTATAACGAACGGATCCTACTACGAATATTCCTATAACGAACGGTTTTACCTATAAAATTGAGATTGCTATAACGAACGAAACTCCTACAACGAACATTATTTAGAAAAAAAAAATTCTTTTTTTTTCTTTTTTTTTTTACTAATTTATTGTTTTTTTATTACAAGTATTAATGATGTTCTTTATTTCAGGGGTTTAGATGCTTATTTATGCACTTTTTTACAATTTTTACAATTTCATATTATATTTTTCAGTGTTAAGTGGTTGTATTTGGGGGCCTGGAACGAATTAATCCTATAACGAACGAATGCTATAACGAACAAGGTTCTAGAACCAATTAGATTCGTTATAGCATACCCCACTGTATATATATATATATATATATATATATATATATATATATATATATATATATATATATATATATATATATATATATATATATATATATATATATATATATATATATATATATATATATCTTGATAAAATCACACGGGAAAAGGGAAACAACAGAGCACCTTAGCTTTCGTCTTTATTCAAGACATCTTCAGAGGCAACTGGATTACATGGACAGAGAGAGGCTTAAATATACGGGGTGACCTTAAAAACATGAGGTCAGGTCATAGTGATGTCATCCACTAATCCCCACACCATATATACCGGTATATATATATATATATATATATATATATATATATATATATATATATATATATATATATATATATATATATATATATATATATATATATATATATATATATATATATATATATATGCTGATAACCACAAGGAAAGAAGAAGAAAACAACACGAAGTTCCCAAGCGCTCTCGTGTAATTCTTCTTTCCTTGTGGTTATCAGCAGGAGTCTGTAAATTATCGTACCGTATCTCTGTTACTGTATGTAGCTGATGAGGTGTTATGAAAATGTGGCCCCTGGACATTTTGATTGACAGGTACAGCATACTGTATACATAAATTAGCTACAAGAGACTGGTGGGTCTATTTCATAGTACAGTACAGTACAGTACAGTACAGTACAGTAGTACTGTATAGTAAAACATATTCTTCACTTGCTGCAGTAAATTGATCTAAATTAAACAAAATTATGGCTTTGGGTTAGATTTGTTTCTTAGCATTTTATTTGTTTGGCAGGTTGGCTTATATAAACTATACAAGGTATTTTTTAAGTTTGCTCACATCTGTAAAAAAAAATTCTGGCTTGCTTTGGGTATTTTATGTTTATTCTTTTACAAGAATTTTTTTATTAAAGTTCATTTACTTTTAGAGGAAAACAGTTTTACTGCATTTGTGTTAATTCTGATGTAAATATGATACTTACATTATTTGTATTTATTTAGGCACAATGAAAAATGACAACAGTAAAATAGCAGAAGATGACATTTGGACAGGAGGAGGAGATGATATATTAGATCCTTTAGGAAGGAAATTAGAGCTAATGAAAGAGGATAACAAGAACAATGATGATACACCTTCCAATACAGTTCATCACCAGAATGTCTCACTGGTGAGTAAATACATTTTTTGTGTTTTATATAATTTTTCTTCATTCATAGGTTATTATTAGGGCATTTTTGGCATTCAGTGGAGTCGCAATAATTCACAAAATACAAATTCGCGTTCTTAAATTCGTGGGTACCTCACTTAATGTTTTTTTAAATTTTGCGGTCAAATATTCATAATTCGTGGCCGAGTGCCTCAGTGTTTTTTTACATAGAAATAAGAAAATATAATATAAATACCGTATCACTTTAATGCTCGATAAAGATGGAGCAAACGGCAAACGCCAGAAGATGTTCAAATTTGTTCATTTCTTCCACAGATGTTCTTTGGATGATAGAACATACTTTGATATCTGGTACCAATAAAAACAAGTTTCTTGAAGCGGCATGGTGTAATTTTACATTTTTTTGTGTACGTGAGAGTACGCTCGGACTGAGCGGCTCGGTTGTTGCACTGAAGCAACCAAAGAACGGACGACAACACGCGCCGGCACGGCAGATTTTTCTGCAGTGTACATATTTAATTTCTTTGCGTACAGAGCATGTAGAGACATCATTTTAGTGATTTATGATGATTTTTTTGCCGTATATTACCCCGCAATTCCCTCATCTTCATGCCCTGCCCACTACAGGTGATTTATGATTGTAGATCGAAAAAATAAAATAAATTAGTGTACTGTACTTATGATTAAAAAAGAAAGTTGTCATATCATTTTATTACTTACTATGGTAGTCGTGGAGCAGATGGCTGGCACCAGAAGGAGTTGTTCGATTATGTTAATTTTTTCCACAGATGTTCTTTGGTTAATAGTAAGTACCAACTAACTGATCCTGTGACCATCATTGAGAGAAGGACATGCACTGATGTTGATAGCTAGTTGGTTTGTCTGCAATGTGGGCCAGACACATCTACTGTGTCTGTTCTCAACTGCAGCTACCAAACTGCAAATGCCATTCTGCTCCTCTAAGCTCACTATTGCAAACTCTGTTATTCTTCTCACTTATTACTTATGCTTAATCATGGCCTATAAAGCATAAGATGATTGGGAAATGTAAATGTGCTGGAAAGGGTCAGAAGAATGTGGTGAGTTTGAGTGAAATAGTGAATGAATGTGTTTGCAAGGGTGGCTATGGGTGTGATGTCTAACTGATCCTCTAGCTAGGTAGTTTGGATATCCTCCCACATTCCTCAGGGTAATCGGTAGTGGGCTGGAAGCTAGTTGGGGGGAGGGGGGGGGGGGTTGTGCCTAAAATGCAATATGGTGACCAGTCACCTGAGGATAGATATAGCTTTAATTAAACCTTCGTTTTATCATGACAATCTTGTCTTCTCATATCTCTTTTTAGGTCATTGGTTACAGTGGGGATGGATGGTCTATTGCAAGACTTAGCTTTAAGCCATCACTGTTATGGCTTCATTGGTCCCAATTTTTTTGGTTTGATGTAGTTATGAGAACCACCTCAGTGTGGTCTTGGCTAAAAAATGGATTATAGAAAAAGTGTTACATTTGTATGTATTTATTTACTAAGTTATCTCTGTTTTCTTTTCAGTTGAATACAGATGAAAATATAGATTTTATGAATTATGGTCTGCCAGAGTTACTACCAAATGCATCTGTGGGAGTTACACCTGTGGGAAAGTCACCTAGTGGCAGCATGGAGACACAAGACACAGAATTACAAGATGGGTTCAATAAAAGGATATCTTGTATCAAATGCAACCGGCCACATTGTAATGGTGTTACAGAGTGTCACATGGCAATCAGGGTAATTATTGATGTATGTACTGTTTTTAGAAATAAATGCTCACATTTTATAAATATCATATCTGGAAGCTAAAGAAAGCTGCTGTTGTTGCTTGCAGTACAGTAAAGCCTTGAATAACGACGGTAATGTGTCCTCCAATATTGCGAATTAAAATAAAGCAATAATAATGAGATGCGTTCCCAAGTGTGACCTTTTCATATCTTTTGTGTGGCTTTTTACCCTCTTTTCCCCAAAACAATACAATTAATGAAAATTGCAAACTATAATCTTTAAATAATGTTTAGGAATGCACCTTATACAATATAAATGAATAATAATATGGTCACACAAGAGGAGATGGGACGCCATTGTTTTCGTTTGTGTTTACAGTCGGGAGTCCGGACGATAGCTCTACACGAGAAAAAAAAAAAGTCCCTGGTTGTAGCTGTAGTAAAATTAATGTAAAAAATTAATATATATGTTTTAAGTAATGTTATTTAATGTTAATAAATAGAACAATAGAAGTAGCTTACCACTAAAGGCAAAGAAAAAAAAAGAGATGGATTGGGAACGCCGACATATACATGCGCATTTAAGGATACCGCGTCATTTATCTTTTTAAGAATATGTACAAAAGATTCATTATTGTTTATTACTGAATATGTATTTGATTGAATTAATGTTTACATCTGTGAAATGAACAATGCAATTAATTAATACTACGTAAAATATTAAAAAAAACACACAAGGAGACAAGACGGCATTGTTTTCATGAGTGACGTTGGTTCTACATAAGAAACTGAAGAAAATAAAACCCTGGTTGTAGCTGTAGTGGACTTATTTAAAAAAAAATTTAATACCTGCATGTATGTTTTAAGTAATGTTATTTAATGTTAATAAATGGAACACTAGAAGTAACTAACCACTAATGGTAAATAAATAAAGCGAGACGATTGGGAACGCCAACGTATGAACAGTAAGTGCTTACATGTGAAAACATATCGTCATATCTCCCCATATGAATATGAAAGCAACACTTATTTACTGTTCATATATGTTTTGAATAATATTTTCGAATGTAAAACAAAAATTCTACTCACCAATGGTGGGAAAGTCTAAAACATAAGGACAGCCAATGAATATTGTGCGAGTTTTTACTCAGATGATGAAGTCATCAGGTTCAACTCTGGCTGAAGCTGTAGCTTTCCATAAAGTTGTTGCTGAAACTTATTGAACCTGAAGTTGATGTTGAAACTGCTTATGATGCTGAATTTGATGGTGTAGCTGAAGTTGATGGTTAGGCCTTCGAATAATAAAGCTGTCGAAAGAACCTTTCACAGCCGCTTTCTTTTCTCATTATACATCTTTATGTAGAGGTCATTTGCGTTTATTTAAATTTTAATGCTTTGTTCTGTTAATGGATCCACTTCAGAAAATGTGTTCATTGCTTGTTTCATATAATATCCACAGACCTCTCACTTTTTTCATATGGTTTTAACGCTTCTAGTTTCTCGGCTAAGCTTATACACTTTGTGTTAGCTTATGAAACAACACTACCATCACTTGCTCTCTTGCTCATGTTGAATAGGGATGCAAAAATACTGAGAAAGATTTTTCTCCTGTTCCTGTTCAGATGCGTGAGAACAAATGGGCCGCCAAGCTCCGTCTGTTGTTTACTGGCGATGCGAATTACCACTCATTAGCCAGGCAGTTTCTTTGCGCAAGGTGCTCTTCCTTTTTTTTACAGTATATTTTATTTATTTTTTTTATAATACATGTCAGGATTTAGTTATTATTTATATGAAAATATAATTTTATTTTATTTTATTTTTTTATTTTTTTTCGCAAATACGAATGAAATAAGGACGTAAATTGAATTGGGTCCTAAATTAACTAGGGTCTTAAATATGAAAAGTTGTTGGTCGAACCGTTGTTATCAGAGGCTTTACTGTACTAGAAAAAAAAATGTTAAAATGAGTTTAACACTCAGACAGTAACTAACAGGGTGCTTTCAGGAAGTTTGCCAATAGCCTGGTAGCTTGGAGTTAAACTTTGCCAGTGTCTCCATGTAGAGAATCAGAGCAAACTTAAACTGTAATTCACTCCAATGAATCTGATTTTGTCTGGTTGGATCAACCCAACACATTTGGTATGGTGTAGTGAAGAAAATGACCCACAAGAGGTACAGTGCTTTGACTTGTCTACCCTGGGATTTGTTTTATGATGATTTAATACTGTTACTATAGCAGATAGGATTGAAGAGTCAGTGGAGAAATTTAAATGGAGTGATTGTATGAAAAACAAAAATACTGCACTGTATTAATTAGTGGTGTCGTCACTGGTGTGGGTGAGATTCCTGTCATAGAAAGTGGAAAATGGCCATGTGCTATCTGTAAGAAAGGTGTTGGAAGCAAATCAATGAGTGTGGAAGGTGGGTACACAAAAGCTACAGTGGTGTAAATGGCAAACTGTATGTAATCATGTGGCCTTAGCAAAGCTGAAGTAACTTATCAGTGGGAATATGACCCTGAGGTATATCAATGAGGTCTGTTACTTGAGTGACATGATCAGTGGTGGAAGTGGTGCTGAAGCCTGCCCATTGGCAAGAGTCAGACATTGAAGAAGGAAACTGAGGGAGCTACTGCCTTCATTGATGGCAAGAGGATTTTCTCTCCATGTACAAGGGAAAGTGGATGCAACTGGTGTGAGAAGTGTGATATTGTATGGCAGTGAAACATGGGCATTACACAGGGTTGCATATGCAGGTTTGAGTGAGCTGAAATAAGAATGATGAAGTGGATGTGTAATGTGACACTGAAAGATAGGGAAAAGTTGTAAGAAATGAGCTCAAGAGTTATGGACTTGATGAAGAATCTGCAAGACACAACACAGTATGGAGAGCTTCCATCAGATAATCATGGCTAACCCACAGTAAAGATGGTGAATAGCACAACAGAAAGAAAGTAATTGTTCTTGTTTCCATGTATTTAAGTGCTCAATAACCAGTCTCTGAACTAATTTTAGAGTACAAATTATTAATAAACTACTGTGTACAAGAAAGGAGATAGATTCTCTCCTTTTACATCATGTGCTCATTTGTTTTCACATCTTTTGGCAGTGTTGGAAAGCTCGAATTCGTACAGAAGCTGGTGAAGTGCAAGAAGCCCGAGGATGTATAACCAACTCAGATCAAGAGCTGATGCAGTGTGGCATTAAAGAAAGTCCTCATAAACCCCTCATAATAGAATGCTGCCAAACTAACTTCTGTAACAATGGAAGCTTTCCAGTTTTACCAACTTCAGACCCAAGTAGGTTTTTTTCTTTTTCAATGAGTGGGAGTTATGTTTAAACCTATATAAGAAGGATGAATGTGTTAATATGGACAACCTTATACGTAGCTTTATTTTGGGCCAGGGAGATTTTATATTATCCATCAAACTTGCGGACTGGAACCGAAGCTAACCCACAACATTAATGGATGGCACATATTTAAACAGTTGTTATTACTTTACCATCACAAACATAATCCCTGAAAAGGGTCTGGGAGGCAGAGGTGTGTTTAAAAGAGTCATGGTTCTACTGTCAGCAGGTTGTCATACGGTACCTTTATTAGTACGTCATCAGCCATTCATAAACTCCATGCTTAAAACAGGTCTTTTTTAGGAGTGATTCATTCAATATTTGGTGTGTGGTTGTATTACCTGTATACTCAAGTACAGTAATACCCCGCTTAACGCGGTTTCGCTTAGCGCGATTTCACGTATATGCGATTTCACGCGGTGCCTCCAGAGCCAACTTTCACTTACGTGGGTTTTTTCCACGTATACGCGCAGGGTGTCCGGCTTGAGATGCTATTTTTAGATTCGCCCCACCCGCCACCCGCCTGCCTGCCTGTTTTAGCTCATAAAATTCATACAAATTACCCGGCCAGAATATAATTTACATTGCTGGAATTCTTACAATATGATGATCGTTTTGAATATAAACATCATAGATTTTGCATTAGACATACAAATTTTAGATATAATGTTTACTCTGAGTAAATATGTTATTTTTTGTGCAAAATATATGACATTTGTATTCAAAATATTCCTGGTCTTACAAAGAATCCAGCAATGTCAATTATATTATCCTAACTTTAGTTTGAGGCATTATTTATTACTAAAAACGTAAATATTCTGGTTTTCCCACACATCTGGTAGGGAGAGTTGGTGGGAGGTGGGGGGAGGGAGGGACCGACCGATCATCTGTTATGTGTGAAGAATATATATTTTTTTTTATTAACTGAAGATATTTGTTTTAGCTCATGAAATTCATACAAGTTACCCGGCCAGAATATAATTTACATTGCTGGAATTCTTACAATTTGATGATCATTTTGAATATAAACATCATAGATTTTGCATTAGACATACAAATTTTAGATATAATGTTTACTCTTGAGTAAATATGTTATCTTTTGTGCAAAATATATGACATTTATATTCAAAATATTACTGGTCTTACAAGGAATCCAGCAATGTCAATTGTATTATCCTAACTTTAGTTTGAGGTGTTATTTATTAAAATTTAGTGGTTTTCCCCCAAAAATTTCTCAAGAGGGAAGAGCCAGGGAGTGTAGTGTGAGAAGAGGGGGAGGGAGTTGAGTCCATTATTTGAATGGACATTAACTTGGCGACTGTATTTCTCTATTTCTCTTAAGTATTAATTGTGTGCATGTACCATCATAAAATTAAGATGTTATTTTTACTAGAACATAGGTATTGTGTCGGAAAAAGTAGAGTTTGGGGTTCGGCCAGTCTCTATTGGAATTAATCCCATATGTTCTGCTGTTCACTTAATGCGGTTTTCACTTAACACAGTACCCTGTGGGTTCAATTGACCAGGGTACTACTGTATACTGTACTGCAGTTTAAGTAAAGTGTATTACTGTATCTTATATCTGACATTGCCTAAGTATTTTAGATGCCAAATGATAAAGTTTTTACTGGGTATGCTTTTTTTTTTTTTTTTGTAAATAAATATCTTATTACTTCATGATTAGGTTTATATACAGTGGTCCCTCGGTTAACGAGCACAATCCGTTCTAGAAGGTTGCTCGTTAACCGAAAAACTCGTGAACCGAAACCATTGTTTCAATGGGTTTTTGGGTAATTGGTTCCAGCTCACCGAAAATTGCCTAAATTCAACAAAAAAGGTAGAAAAGTACACTTACTTTGAGGTGTGTATGTAGAAGGCTCCTGGGTGATGATGATGGGAATTAGAATAGGGGTGGAGAAGGGAGAAGAGAAGGCATTGGGGTGGAAGAGAAGTCACCCCATGGTGCCATTTCACCCATAAAATTTTAGTTCTCTTGGTGCAATGAAAGATTATTTTCTTTAAATCAACACTGCACTGCATTATATATTGTCAATACTGTATGTAAAATAAATTTCAAAATGACCAATAATTTGCTTGCAAAAACAGAAAAAAGCATTTAGTTGAAGAGAGTCTCAAGCAAGATGTTACCTCCACTGAAAAGACACAAAGACTGACGCCTGTATGGTGTGTTGAGAGGCTGGATGGCACGCATAAAACTAGTTTCATTACCTTCAATTATGTTCAATAATTGTTAAAATTAGTAAAAAATTTAATATTTAAACTTTTAAAATTATTGAATAGTATAAACTTCTTGATATTTGCTAAAATGGTAAGGAATTTATGCCCTAGAACCGATTACTGTATTGGCGGACTAATACTACAGCTGGTGGACAAACAAATGCAAGCGAAATTATGTTCAGGTTGGCTCGTAAGAAACTCGTTAATCGAGGGATTGCTCGTTAACCGAAGTTAAGAATCTTATGGAAGGTAACTCGTTAACCGAAATCTCGTTAACCGAGGGACCACTGTACTGTACTTACTTAAGTCAATTGTATTACAGTGAAGGATGAAGGATCACAGGTGCTAAGAGTATTTGTGATTCATGTGGTTCCTGTGATGGTGGTGGTGGTTATTGCCATAGTTGTGATTATCTTGCTCCGCCGTGCACATAATAGAAGGATGCAGGAATATGCTGCAGCAGCTGCAGCATCTGCTGTACCACCACATCATGCTATGTATCGAGATGAACTTAGAGTAACTGCAGCAGGAGATTCAACTTTACGGGTAATTATAAAAGATCATTGCAGATTTTTTTTTTTTTTTTTTAAATTGTGGTAATAGATTTAGTTCCAATTTGTTTTTTTTATGCATTTTATAAATACTTGGGCTGATTTTTATTTATATCTTTTTTTAATGCTAATATTCATTGTGAAGGGAATAATAAAAATGTCAAAGATATTATCCAAAGAAAAGTTGGGGGTAACTTGTTCAATGGTTTGAATGGTATAGACCTGATCAGAACAACCAAAGACACTACAATATTTGGTGGTCAATCTGTAAATGTATTCATTCAGGAACCTGGTGTACTTTTCTGAAATGTAGTTTTTTTATGATTAAAGTTAATAAACAAACTTTCCAGGTAATAGGTGTCTGGATGCCATGTTGTTAACTTTACTTGTATTTTTTAGTAATGTACCTTTTTCATTGTGAATATACAGGAGATCTTCAATGACTCCATTACGTCTGGAAGTGGATCAGGTTTGCCACTACTCATCCAGCGCACTCTTGCCAAGCAGATTTGGCTCTCAGAAGTTATTGGAAAGGTAAGGAATAATATGAAGAGCTTCTCACTCTGTTTGTAATAAATTGTCTTTGACATTTAAACCACATTATGTACCATATGTAATCATGTTTCAACTTTAAGGCATGGAATGTTTCAAGACCTTCATAAACATTTACTGTATGTATGTACTGTACACAGTTTCATACTGTACAGTACATCATAACTAAAGAGATAAAGTTCCTGCATGTACATTCATTTTCACTATCTATTTCTTTCATCCAATTGGACGAGAATAAAATTAACGCAGATATTGGATCATGGTGTGCTAGAGTGTTAATGAAATGTGATGCCTTAATATACTTATAATGCCATGATAATGTATACTGTTTGTCAATCTGTGGACTTCATGTATTGTCAATTAACAATCACCATAAACTGCATTTTATTTTACTTATTAATGGTATTTAAAGAAATTTTGACTTCTTTCTTTTGACTTTAAAGTAAATCCATTCACCCAAAGTCCCCCACCCCTAATATCCTGTATCCGCTTCTGAGATAGTAATACATACATTATAATAGGCTTAGTTAATTCATTAGTGTGCACTATGGCTCCATGAAGCAGACTGTGACAGTTTAGGCATGGGTACTGTACTGTACTCTGCCTGATACTAGCACATGATGGACTATGATTTGTGTAGCACTCACCCTAACTGTACACCACTAAATAAACTCCATATGTTAAAAAATAAATAAAAAAAAATTCACACTGGGGAATACCGTATATCACGGCCTATAAGGCGGCGGGGTGCATAAGACGCCCCCCCCAAATTTCCATTTAAAAAGTAGCTTTTGAGCTCTATTTGCTGTATAAGACCAGTACCCCAAATGTGACACTTACCCACTGACTCAGTAGTCCTTTACCAACCATCCTTGATTTTTTAAAATAAGGCCAATTCACTTCAAGTAATGTCATCAAATTATACCCGCTGGTGTAGTGTAAACACTAGTGACGTCACTGAAGCGTCTGCTATTTACCGATAACTGGAACTAATGTCGGTATCGAGTAAAATTTTTCCATTTACTTGAAATGGATTTACTGATTTATTTGTTTATTTGTTTATTTATTTATTTATTTATAATATACTGTAACATATTAAACACACTGCAAGTATTTTCTTTCATTTATACGCTTGCTTCACACGAGACGATCGGTGGTGGGAGTGTTCCCTCGTCTCCGTGGTGTGGCTGTGTTCCGACTATTTATACAACATGTGGTTCAACAGCAACCACCGTATTCTAATTGTGGTGTTTCATTAGGATTTGAGTGAAAAAGGTTACCAGTATGTACTTACTACATACATTTATTACACAAATATATATATATATATATATATATATATATATATATATATATATATATATATATATATATATATATATATATATATATATATATATATATATATATATATATATATATATATATATATATATATATATATATATATATATATATATATATATATATATATATATATATATGAATATATATATATATATATACTGAATATACTATGTACAAAAAATGAATGTTCAATGAATTATTTATGGTGCATTAGGGTACTGGCCACTTCAGACGAGCTATAAATAGCCTTGTTATCTCCCCTCCATCTCACCCTGAGCCAGAGGGAAGCGTCTTGGTAAATAACATGTTTGCTTATTTTCCATTTACTTGAAATAGATTTACCGAATTGCAGTTTCAATTGTTCCTCTTACTTTGACAACACAACATACATACAGTATATTATTTCTCAGTTTTGATCTTTTTTTTAATTTTTGTATTTATTTATAGTTAGTTACTTAAAATAAGGCCAATTCACTTCAAGTAATGGCATCAAATATTACCAGCTGGTGTAGTGTAAACACTAGTGACGTCACTTGAGCGTCTGTAATTAACCGTCGATAGTTTCAAGAATTAATGCACTCATTTACTGAATATTCTTTGTAAAAAAATAAAATTTAAATCAATTATTTATAGGAGATAAATATTATTATGAGTAAATATACCGATACCGGTATGCATTACTGACCACCTCCACGGCTAAAAATAGCCCAATCTCGTGGTCACTTTCCCTTTCTTGTCTCCTCACTGGCAAATGGGGGGGGGCGTGGGGAGGGGTGTGTGATGATAGCTGTGTTTATTACAGGGGTATAAATCTCTTTTACGGTATGTTAGACAGGTTTATAATACATTTTTATTATTTTAATATACCGGTAATCTTAATTTGAATCCAGCTTGCCAAACGTAAGTTTCAGTATAAAATAATTAGTGGTAAGACCTTGTGAGTGGCTTACGATGTTTTCATCACCACTCTTGACACACTAAACCACAATATTTAAGAGGTAAGAATTTTAAACTTGGTGGTTTAGACGACCCCCTAACTTTGGGCAGATTTTTTTAATGTTCAAATTTCGTCTTATAGGCCGTGATATACGGTATGTATTTTTATTTTTATTTTTCACTTGTATACAAGAAAAACTTGAGTGCATAATTTATTTTTTTATTGGAGCACACCGTACTGTATTTACTATTCCATTGTATTGTGTCAAATTTCATTTAACTACTCTATTGTACTGTATAAGTAAATTTTGCCTGCTATACGCTGTCTTTTTCTTTACAAAAAATTTATATTGTATATTATGGTCTGAAATTTTATTTAAATTCTTCCTTTTCCCAGGGTCGATATGGTGAAGTGTGGTGCGGAGTTTGGCACGGGGAGAAGGTTGCCGTAAAGATATTTTTCTCACGAGATGAAGCATCATGGGCAAGAGAAACAGAAATATATAGGCAAGTATTCGGGAAGTAATTGAGAGTGAGGCAGAAGTGGCATCCTCCCTGATAGAGAGGGGATGGTTTTTCTTTTAAATTAATTAAGTGAAGTTTGTTAATTAACTCATGAAAATAATTATCATGTTCTTAATACATATACGTATAAGGCGTTGATTAATGCAAGGGCGAACGCGCCAAAACCAAGTTTTGAGAAAATGGGGTTTAAAGTTTGCACATATTCAAAACATGATAGAACCTAAAAAAAATCGTAAATTCTGTTCAATGAGGTCTCATTTTAAAGGCAATTTAATGCAGAATACGATCCTTGTAATAAATAAAATGTGATGTATGATTTTGGTTCACATTAACATCAAGAAATGAAATGGTGTGAAATTAACATTCATGAAAATAATGAAATAACAAAGTTCTGTACACAAAAAAATTAATTTATGTTGTAATAAAGTAAAAAAATAAATAAATAATGGTAAAACTCACTTTAGAGCAGTGGTTCTTAACCTCTTTAGGATCGTACCCCCTATAGCAGTTGGTCCTCATCTCCACCCCCCCCCCCTTCCTTCCTTCCTTCCTTCCTTCATATAAAATTCTAAATCTAAAAATTCTAAAACAATTTCCTCTTGAATTTAATAGAACAATTTAGAAACTAGTTTTTAATTCGTTACTTTAATAACTTTAATTATTCAAAAGAGTCTGTATAAGCAACTCGCAAATTCACAACATATTTACTTATTTAGTGAGCCTCAAAATTATGGTTTCTTCATCAAATTATCGTACACTTCCCGACATTATTACAACCTTAATTCAGTCACTTTTAGTGGAATTTTACATTTTGATAGACATAGTTACTATTTACAACATTTTGAAATATCTGTGGGGAGCGAAACCCCCCATGAAAATCAAAATAAGGACATACACACACCTGTTAAGGCCATTCCTTATTTTTGCTCTGGGTTTGTGCCCACCCTGGAAATTACTAATGCCACCATAGGGGGTTCCCCAGGTTAAGAACCGCTGCTCTAGATGATGATAATGCTCTCATAAAGAACTTGGTAGCAGCGGGGGATAGGGTAGTTGGGTAGTAGTCTAGCTGATCATCATCATATAAATCTTCCTCCTCCAGGACGCCGACATTAGAACATATCAGGCTTCTCATTGGTCGGTACGCTCCTCCCAACATGTTGATTAGCTCGGGGAGTAAGGCAGGCTGTGATTGGTCGCCGGGTCACTGGCGACTTCGACTGCTTTACTCACCAGAAACTGAAATTACCACAGGCAGCACATAGACGCCGGGAGTTTTACATCGTATGATTCAATGGGATTTTGCCAGTAAACCAAAGGCGAACTCGTCATACCGTCTTGTGTCATAGTAGAACGAAACTTTCTGAAATGAATGGTACAAAAATCGCATTTTTGCTCGGGTGGCGAGTTCGCCCTTGCATTAATTAACACCTCATATCTTCTTTCCAACACATAATGTGTGAAATTTAATGAAGAAGTATTATCAATATTATTATTATGACAGTATTATTATTATTATTATTTCTACCTTCAGCTCTAGTGGAGTAGAATATATACAGTCACCCACAGCACTTCAGTTGGTGCCCAACAGAGCCCGTAAACCCCGTCAATCTTAGACAAGTGGCTCTGAAGCAGAAGGTTGATATGCACAGCTCTATCAACAGATGGCGTACTGCTGCCACTACCCACCTACTTCTTCAGATACAATTGTCCGAGACTGACAGGTTCATGGACACCGTTGGGTGCTGACAGAACTTTTGTGGGTGACTGTAGTCCCCTTTGTTATTATTATTATTTACTTATTTATTATTATTATTATTTATTTATTCAAATTCCCCACTTGAGTTGCTGAAAAGGCTCCATTATATTGAGAAAATGTCTGAATTCGCTGACCAAGTTTGGAAACTTTGGATAATTCGGTAGAGGTAGAGCCCCAAGGTTTTTGAATGAGAGGGTGTCAAGTGTATGTTATTTCATTTTATTTTTATTAATAAGATGTACCGGAGGAGTTCAAATTAGTTTGTGTAACTTACTTAATGTCTGAGTGGCTATATGCCTAATGCATATGAAGGATGTTGTAAATGAGTAGATTTTGTGCATACCCTGTACAGTATATTGCAATTTGGTTCCTATTTTGTCTTTTTTTATGTGAAATCTTGGGTAACAAAAAATCATAAATAGAGGAATAGCTGAACTGTACTAATGTGTATATATATTTTAAAGCACGGTCCTTCTACGACATGAAAACATTCTGGGCTTTTATGGCTCGGACATGACATCACGAGGATCCTGTACACAGCTTTGGTTAGTAACTCACTACCATCCACGTGGCTCTTTATACGACCATCTCAATACTCACAGCCTAGACCATACTTCACTTATGACAGCAGCCCTCTCCACTATAAATGGTCTGCTTCACTTACACACGGAAATCTTTGGAACACAAGGAAAGCCTGCCATTGCCCATAGAGATATCAAGTCAAAAAATATCCTTGTTAAGGTAGGTGTAATCTGATAATGTACTACAGTGGTCCCTCGGTTAACGAACACAATTCGTTCCACAAGGTCGTTCGTTAACCGAAACCATTGTTTCAATGGGATTTTGAGTAATTGGTTCCAGCTCACCGAAAATTACATACAAACTAAAAATAAATGCAGTAAAGTACACTTACTTTGAGGTGTGCATGTAGAAGGCTCCTGGTTGATGATGATGATGGGGGTGGAGGAGAAGGGAGAAAAGAAGACATTGGGGTGGAAGAGAAGTCACCCTATGCTTCATGCTGCCATTTCACCCATAAAATTTTAGTTCACTAGGTCTAATTCAAGATTATTTTCTTTAAATCAACACTGCACTGCATTATATATTGTCAATATGTAAATTAAACTTCAGATTGACCAATAATTGTACTGTAAAAATAGTTTATGTTCAAGAGAGTCTCAAGCAAGATGCTTGCTCCACTGAGCAGGGACACACACTGACGCCATTTTGGGTGAGTCAAGTGGCTGTTTGGTGCGCTAAAAACTAGTTCCCTGTACTTCAATTATGTTAAATAATTGTTAAAATGACGAAAAATTTTAATATAAAACTTGGAAAATTATTGATATTAGTGATATTTACTCAAATGGTAACGAATTTAAGCCCTAAAACCGATTACTGTATTGGCGGACTAATACTACAGCTGGTGAGCAGGCAAAAGCAGGCGAAAACATGTTGGGGAAAAGTTTGTAAGGAATTCATTGACCAAAATTTTTTCGTTAACCGAAGTGAAGAATCTTATGGAAGGTAATTCGTTAACCGAAATTTCGTTAACCGAGGCATTCATTAACCGAGGGATCACTGTATTAACCCCTGTACTGCTTCAATGGTGATATGTATGATCTGCTCCAATGAATCTGTCTCTTTATGCTTTTATTTCCCTTTTACATTTGTAGGTTGTTTATATTGCATGTACAGTACAGTATAGTAAAGATCTTTTTAAAAGAAATATTAGTTATGGAATTGCAATATTGAATTTAGTAGAGAGGCAGACACTTATACAGTATAATATTCTGTACATAATATTGGCACAGAAAGGCTTAAGTGTCTATATATTTAATCATGTTCTTCCTTTCAGCTAAATGGATCTTGTGTGATTGCTGATTTTGGTCTTGCAGTAATGCATACACAAACTACAGGAGAAATCAACATCAGCAATAATCCTCGAGTGGGAACAAAGCGCTACATGAGCCCTGAAGTCCTCAATGAGTCGTGAGTTTTTTCTTACCCAAGTTACAGTTCATCGATTTCCACAAATCCCTTTCCACTGTGTTTCATCTTGGCTCACTGAAAAATTTATCCATGTTCAAATATAGAAACCTCTAATATGTACACACACCAAAAAAAGTCCTGTCAGTCCTCCGTTTCCATCCATGAACCCTCAGACTCCTGAAACTCGTGAACCTGTGAATCCAAGACATCACATACAGTATAGTTGGATTGGAGACAGGACTGACCGGACTGTATAGGTAAACATAAGGAATAGATACATATACTGTTTTTGCCTCTAATGATGCTCATTTTTGCTGAATTGTTTCTTTACTCTGTCCAGCCACCTCATCTTTGATTGTGCTGTGTACATGTTTTTACAAAAGTCATGCCAATACTTTTTTTTTCTTAGCTGTGTCATCTTCTAGCAATCTTTTCACTTGATCTTGTACAGTGAACCCTCACTTTATGCGGTCAATTGAACCCACGGCGGCCCACGTAAGTGAACAACATAACATATGGGATTAATTGAAATAGAGACCGGGCCGACCCCCAAACTCCACTTTTTCAGACACAATACCTACGTTGTAGTAAAAATAACTTCTTAATTTTATGATGGTATGCACACAAAATTAATAATTAAGAGAAATATCAATAATATTAGGTTTTTTAACACTTACATTAGTAGAAAAGATGGCTGGGCACACGGGGATGGGGGGTTGGTTCCGAGGCAGAGGGCAGATTATTGGCCCTCACCTGTATCTCTTGTATCAATTGTATCACTTTCCACCACAGAGGCTTGCAGGGCCTCTTTGTCAAACCCCTCAAAGTCCATATGAGTTCATATCCTCACTATCATTATCACTATCACTGACTTGGGCCGGCTGTGGTGGGTGGCGGGTGAAGAACTAGGTAATGTTTTGATGACTGGGCGACCTTGTGCGCACCCTGCTCGCGCCGCTCTCCGCGTAAAAGGGAACACACCGCGGAAAGTGAGCATTCCGTGTTCGGCAGGGTACCGCGTAAACGTGGAAACGCGTAAAGTGGGACCGCGTAAAGCGAGGGTTGACTGTACCTCAGCATTCCACCATGACCTTTAACCATTAACTAGATACTTTTATTAAGTGAGGGAAAGAATAACTTTTATTTTATTTTATTTTTTCAGAATCAATATGAGTGTATTTGAATCATTCCGTAAAGTTGACATCTATGCTTTGGGACTGGTTCTCTGGGAGGTGTGTCGAAGATGTATTTCAAATGGAATAGTGGATGAATACAAACCACCTTTTCATGATGTAGTTCCTAATGACCCCAGTTTTGATGACATGAAAAAAGTTGTTTGTGTTGACCAGTATCGCCCCATGATTCCCAACAGGTGGACCAGTGATTCAGTAAGTATTGTTTTTGTTTCTTTAAGTTTGTTTGCTTTTGTCATACATTATTTTGTAAAAATACAGTTAACACAATGTCAGAACTGTAGATCTTTACTGGTCATATTGATTATCAGCCACCAGTGATGTGTGTGTGTGTGTATTTGCATACATGTGCACAAATTTGTTCATTAGTTCATATTAATTTTCAAGTCAGTCCAGAGGTAGCTGTCGGCTGTTGTAGTTAAGTTTGGGTTCAAGTCACTACCTAGACGGAAGGGTTCTGTCTTATGTTGATCGGACATCTAGGTTCTAGGTTCACGTAAATAGAACCTGTGCAAAATTACATGGCATGCAGCGAAAGAAAGCAGAATGTTGCTATCATGAGGGGTGCTCTGTGTGGATGAATGTTAAAAAGTAGTGTAAACATGTCTGTGCATTCTGGGTTGCCATCTTGTGATAGCCAAAAGTTGTTGTGTGCTTAATTTGATTTTTTCTTTTGTAGAACATCCATTAAATCAAAATTTGCATTCTTTAAAGGAAAAGGGATGTCAAAATGCAATTTTTATTCATTGAAGTGACTGCTTGCTTATGTATAGAGAAGGTGTCAAAATGTAATTTTTGTTAGAACACATTTTTATGTAATAATATCTCCCTTAGCCGGAATCACTCAAACCCAGAACTCTCCGATAGCCTGAATTAAAATTTTCTCGGAAAATCGTTTGCAAAGCCGGAATTTTCCGACTTTAGGAACGATTTTCCGAGGGGTACATTTTACGGAAAATTCAGAGAAAATTTTCTCAATACCTGGAAAATTCTGTGGATGGGGGAATTTTTTTCCAGATTTAAGAGATGAAAATCGGGTGCATTTTCCAGAAATTCCAAGGCAATTATTCCGTAACCCGGAAAATTACGGGGATGAGGGATTTTTTCTGGCTTTGAGAGAGTCATCTCATTACCCGGAAATCTTTCATTCCCAGAAGTGCTCTGCACCAATTGTTCTGGCTTATGGAGATATCACTGGGCATATTTATATTGGGGGTTGCTTATACAGCACAGCATATACCCTGTACCTATTTATAACCTCGAATGGTACATCATTGAGCATAAGGTATGTTTGTCAGGGCTCTACTCCACTCAACCCTTATTACTCATAGACCTGACCCATCCCTTGCCAACTGGGAGAAATCTAAAACATAACCTCGGTAGTATGAGTGTACAGTATATTATGGTTACTACAATAGAATTAAATGTTTACTTTAGCATTAACACTAATTTATTTCATCACTAAATTAAGTTTAAAGTAAAATAGTAATTTGGTTGGTTTCATCCTACCAGATATTGGGACACATTGCTGAAATATAGCTGTGGGGCTTATTGAATATGTAGTATTTACTCTGTGGTTACACTAAGCAATGTATATCAAGAAACAATAATTAACTGGCTATGAAAAAAAATCCATTGAATTTTAATTGAGATGAAGAAAGCTGAATTGACGTGAAAATTTTATCCTTAGGTATTAGCAGGAATGTCCAAAATAATCCGAGAATGTTGGCACCAAAACCCAAGTGTGCGACTGACGGCATTAAGAGTGAAGAAATCGCTGGTGAAGTTGGCACAGGAGGAAACCAAGATTAAATTGGACTTTGATTGTTGACGAGGGAAAACCAAATGTACAATGTTTATTTGATTCTGTCATTATAAGCAGCAATATTTATTTACAATTATACTGTAAGTGTATGAAATGTTGTGCTTACATGAGAAGGATGTAAGTTAAAGTGTGTTGCTATGATTAAGCTGGTACAGTATGTAGTGATATAGATTAAGGAGTATTGCCATGAATTTCCTATGTAAAGATATTATTTATACATTTTGAATCTAATTAAAGCATTTAAAATCAAACATTGACTTTCTTCATGTGAAAGGGATATGGAATATTGTAGATTGAAAATACTGAATCAAACAAATTAGCAACGATTTTTATATCTTGTGCTGTATGGGTTTATTAATATTAATTACTGTAAAATTATTTTTGTTTATCTTGATTAATCAAAATTTGTTCCTAATTAAAATTATTGTTAAATGCATCACAAAATGTGCTGCAGGTGTGTACAGTAATAAGAAAGGTATATCCAAATTTATTTTGTCCAAGCACTTTTTGTTATTTGTGAATACTGCTTTGGTAATATGTGTGGACAGATTGTTTTGCAATTTGCATTTTACATCATCTTAGATCTGTAGAACACAGTAAAGCAATAACTTGAAAAATCACAGAACTCTCCATGTAGGACTAGAAATTTGGGTGCAGTTTAATAATTTCTGTGACTGGTTATATTGATTTTTTCTCACCAAATAGCATTATTGTTTTTTCTTTAGTGTACTATTAATGTTTTGTAAATAACTTTTCTACTTAAATATGTATAATGCAGTGTGAAAGGAGTACAGAATCTTTTTTTATCAGTAGGTACTTATGAATGATAATACTCACTTATGTGAATTGTATACTGTAATGTATATAGAAAAAAGTAATAAATGGTTGCGCCATAATCAGTGATGACATTTGTGGCATGAAACTATGACCTTTGTCCTGACTTGTACATAATTTTTTATCCAGTTGAACTCCATATTGTATTTTCATATGCTATTGAATTGTGTGATCTTTTTGTGATCTAACACGGGGAGGTGCCTACAAATGTTAGTGTCATGTAACACAGAGCAGCGTATAGTGGTGTTAGTGTAATGTTATATAACACCAGCCTACAATGGTGTTAAGTGTCATGCAACATGAAAGAGGATACAGTGGTGTTGCAGTGTTGTTATGTAATGGAGCAGCCTACAGTGGTGTTACAGTGTCATGTTATGTAACACTACAGAGAAGCACCTACACTGGTGTTTAAGTTTAAGAGTACCATGAATGTGTTCTGTAGAAGAATGAGAATATATGTACAGTACTAATTTGAGTCTCAACTTTAGATAACCACATGACAGCTAAAATGTTTTTAAGGGGTTAAGGTAAAAAATGATGCTTTCCTATAATTATTTATATTGTTTTATTCTGTCAAACAACACAAATTCTACTAAAAGAGATTTCATTAAGATAGTGAATTGAGAAGGAATTAAAGATGTTCATGGATGCTCTGAAATACAAAGGAATTAATTAATTGAACATTAATAGATCAAAATAAAGTTAGTTCATGAAAAAGCAAATTCAATGGGTAAAATACTGTATACTCAAATAGGAAAGCTGTTCACCAACATTTTCAAATCAAAAGCCACTTTACTCTTTTAATTAATTCTATTTGTAAAATGTACACATGGAAGAGTAAAGTGGAAGATATATAGTACTTTGCTTGCATTTATAACTTTTTATACTCATTAACTCCTTCAGCAATAACATTGAATCCTGTTAACCATTTTGGATTTTTATTTAATTATTTTTTTCTTGGGAGGGTCATTAGCTGTCTCTTGAATTTAAGGATAATGTCTGCAATAGGTCTCAGCAATGTGATCTGAGGTGACTCAATGACTCATGATTTCAGTTCTTGCTCTGGAGTCCCTGCTTCTGAGTTGGCAGGTGATTCCTAAGTGAAAGATTATCCAGGGGTCTGGTATTTCTGCTTCATGAATAACTCTTAGAAGTGGCTTGGTAAAAGGTTCATTTTCATAGGCTGTGTCTGTGGCCTGCTCTTTCCAATTAGAAATATGCTTAGCACCCATGTCACAGTTGCTGAGGAGGGTACCATTGGACTTGGCCTTCCTTGGAGGTGCCACCCTACAGCTAGTGTGAAAAAAAAAATTGAATATTAATACACAGGAAAAACCTAAGAGAGTCCAAACCAAACCTTTCAGAACATGTTCACGAGTATACATTACACAGCAGCACAAGAAACTCCTGGTGAGCCTGAAGTAGAAGAGAGAAGGAATTGGGTACAATGGTGATAGTGAAGGTAAGTCCAACCATGTGTATGTGGGAGCAGTTAGTAGACCCCCTGCCTAACAACTCTTACCCAGGTGGAGGAAGACACCGTATGATACAAATGTATATCTGACCACATCCTAGGTTAATGGATAATCTGGGGTGGAAAAGATTAATCCTCATGGTCTATTGGGATCCATATCCTAATAATGACCATTACCTGTACTTATCAAGGGCTCACTTAAGCAGTTCACAGATGATGACCGAGATAAGCTAAGAGGAAGTTTCTACTCGGTAACTCGGACAAAAAGGTATTTCCTGAATGTCATACATTTTCTTTGTACTTTTTTCTATTTTCTGTTCTCTTACTTTTATCTTATCTTAGTTATATTCTGACCTAGGGCTTACCTGGGAAACCCCTTGTTATGTTACAATTTTCAATACTCTCAGTAGCTGCCACCACCCAGGTTTTTCAATCAGAACATACTGTATAATATAACATTAATCACTTCACTAAGGTGACAGTAACGGGACACTTGGGTGAATGCAACGTGGCGAGGTCTGGGGCATGTGGGTTTGTTTGTATTTAATGGTATCAAGGTATGGGGAAGAAACAAAGGTAAATACTGTAGGAGAATGATAACCCCAACATACAATTAAGAAAGTTTATTTAAAATAAAGTTGAATACCTGACACTTTATCAGAACATACACCTATAAATCACCCCTTGGGTTTCACTCAAGACTGGCTAAACACCGAGACACTCCAAAGACCAATTGGCCTCACTTCTACGTCAGCCACAAATGTTCACGTCAACAAGACCAATGTTCTGTCAAAAATACTTTAGGTTACTGGAAACATTCTATGATAGTGGCACAAGGACTGGTCGTCCGCACTTCAGTACAGTATTATTAATAACTAAGGTACTTGCTAAACTTCATTGCATTTCTCAAATACCCATCAAGACTTTTCAAGTACATTAAACATTACTACAGGTTATCTCTTCAATTAAACTTTACAGAAGTGACTTCAGGACTTTTAACCAAAAATGAATAGCACATCTCACTCGGGAAAACAAGTCTCTTCCCAGGTATAACTCGTTAGTTTAAAAAAAAAAAAATTGTGGATGGTGTAGCATAATAATGATTAAGTATTTATTATACCTGTACCTGTACTAGACGTGTAATTGTGACCATGACAGCAAGTTGAAAGAGGAATCCTAAGGGAACAGACGTGCCCATAGGTGCTCTTGGCTTCCCGATCGTCCCACCAAGGTCCCCTCTGCCGGCACATTTTGCCAGCATGGGGGTCGACATAAACGTCCCAGACGAGGCTCTCTCATAGATGCAGACATCTCTGATACTGATGCCATTACCAACTCGCCTGGTCATACTGAATCCAACACCCTTCAAGAGTCAGACCCCAGTGATTATGACAGTGACGCTAATGTTTCTAAGGGAAACGCTAGCCACAGTGGAAACACCAATGCCATGGACCCTATCACCCTGCCCTCTGCCAAACAAACAAGTAAGCTGAATCTCCACTTACCCAAGGACTCTCTGAAAACTGTAGCGGAATGCTTTAACCGGATGATGAAGTACTGCAGACAGCACGGTTTCAGCATTGAATTCCGACAAGGTAAAAACCGGAACTTTATCAAGTGTCAGACTCCTGAGGCCTATGAAACACTTAGTACTGTTGGCCATGACGGGGTCGTCCTGCTGCCCCCCCTCCCCCTGTAGACGCGGATGAATGTTGCCACATCCTAGTGAAACGTTTCCCCTTATATGCCGACATCGAAGATGCGCGTGACTTTAACTCTAGTATACTGAGTATACGTCGCCATTACCGGGGAAGAGTTCCACAACCCGCTGTCATTGTCAAGCGGAAGGGAAGGGAGTGCCCAACCACTCTTACCCCCACTGTATGCAGAAGCCTATCATCCTGAGCCTGCATTTTGTGTTGTCTGTTCTCATTGGGGTCACAACTTCACTGCCTGCTGTCGACGTGATCGGCCGAGATGTCGCTTCTGTTCACATAACCACAACTCCGCCGCCTGTGCCCAGAAAATCAAAGACCACCTTAATAGTGGTGGGGTGGGCTATGTAATTAATCCCAGATGTTGTAACTGTGGCGGCCGGCACAATGCTGACTCACGGCAATGCCCCAATCGCCCGTCTGTCCCAGGGGAAAAGCGCCCCCCACAGTCTACCAGGCCACACCCCCCCTGTGTACCCTGTGTCTCCAGCAACGCCTTCTTCAACAGCACCTGCCTCTGCCTGGCCTCATCTGGCTACAACACAGCAGTCCCGGCCGTCTCCTAACTCAACTACTACTGGGCCTCCTCCCCGTCTCTACTCTGAGGCTGTCAGGCCTTGTGCTCCCACCGGTGCCCCCCCACAACCCCCCGTCATTGACATGACACAGATCATATCCCTCTTCCAAGAATTTACCAACCGTATTGAAAAACTCTTCGCTACACTCTGTACCACCATCTCCCACCTACTCCTGCCCTCTGTTGCCACCCAGTCACTCCTCTCTGCTGGTTTGACACAAGCTGTTGGTTCCCCTGTGAGCCCCCCCTGCTCACGGCCTACTCCACCGCCGGCGGCCTTCACTACTGGTGTAGCGCCTACCGGGCCTGCCCTGGTGTGTCCTGCTGCCCCCGAGCGAAGTCCTGCCCCATCCTCACAACACTTGGTGCCTCAACCTGTCCACCACCCACCGAAAGCCGCGCCCGTGTCTGAGCTGTTTCCACCAGGGCGACCTGGACCTGAGGACACCACCCCCGGCTACCTGTACCCCACCGACATGTCGCAATAACACTAAAAGGTGTGTCCCTCAATGTTGTCAATGCCTATGTGCCTCCTTCCACCCCTACTGTACCTGTCCCACCACACCATATCACCTCCACCCCCACTGTACTTCGCCACGCCTAGTACATTGGCAACCCTGAGCCTGGCCGCACTGTTTGTAAACTTTGTGGTCAACAGACTCTCACACCCTTTCACCACATCCTCATTTGCCCTATGACCTCCCCCTACAAGGGTGGCACCTCTACCCTCCCTGACCAGATATCCCTCCTCCTAGTGACAGGCCTGGCACTTGACATTATTAGTGACTTGCCACACTTTGCCATAAACAGATAAATTGTACCGGGAACTTTCCCCCCCACACACTCATCATAGTCACTTTATGTAACTTGCTGACAAAACCCATGACCCTTCAGGCCTTTTACGCCCTTAATGCATGAGTCATAAAGGCAAGCATGAACTCCGCATGCTTCCCAGTTGGGCACTGTAAACGCTTCTGCGCTTCACCTTGCACAGGATGTAAGGGGGGTGCCCAATAAACTAGCCCCCTCCGGGGCAATCTGTAAAAAAATCCAACCAGCTCTCTCTACATCATGCTTGTAACCACGCTGCCACTTCCCAGCACCAAGCTGCATTGTACATCCAATATAACATGTATACAGAGAGCACATTGTGAGTTTCCTTTCTCCAACCATCCTGAGTGTGAACCAAACATCCCATACCCCACAATAGAATATGGTGCAGTGTAAAGGCAATACAATAAATTTTTTATTTGTTGAAAACAATTTTAAAATATAACAGGACTATGTAATATTGATCTTTATATAAAAAGCATATTATGTAAAATATGAAAATTCCGTAAGTCTGTAGTGGACTTCTCCCCTACAAACGCTGTTTGTCGCTGAGTAGCCGACCCCACGAATTCCCCAGTGTATGCCTCGTGGTCTGGGTCAACCAGCGCCGCCATACATCACGGAGGTCAACTACTAAGCCACGCCTACCCCCCGCTATTTAAGACCTGACCTCGTGGTGACCTGCCCTCTTTCTACCTACACCAACCAGCCAGCAACACCTCCTCCGCCTGCCTGGCGGTCCTCTTCCTCCTCCTCCACCTGCCTGGCGGTCCTCGCTCCTGCCGGCGAGCATGGCGACCCACAAGCTGTCCTCCTGTGAGCATCCTCACCAACCAGCTCTCTCTACATCACGCTTGTAACCATGCTGCCTTCCCAGCACCAAGCTGCATTGTACATCCAATACAACATGTATATAGAGAGCACATTGTGAGTTTCCTTTCTCCATTCCATCCTGAGTGTGAACCCAAACATCTTGAACCCCACAAATGGTGACCCCCGGAGATTTGCACTCTCACAGGATGGAGGAGAAACTGATCACGCTCCCAGTCTTCAAGCAACATGGAAGACTGGCTTATCCAACCAGAAGAAGCTCTCATCAGCTCTACAGCTACTGCCTCTACACCGCAGGTTAGACACCCTAGTGCAGCTCTGCTACTCTAAGCAGACAAATTTTTCGAATGGTCTGAAAAATGGCAGATGAAATTCAACGTCGACAAATGTAAAGTACTCAGTATAGGAGATGTAAACAGGGAAACCAGATACCAGATGAACAACGATGCCATAGAGAAATCCGACTGTGAGAGAGATTTAGGAGTAATGATAAGTAGGAACCTTAAGCCAAGTAAACAATGTGTTTTTGCTCGTAACAAGGCTAATAAAGTACTTGGGTTCATACAAAGGAGTGTTAGTTACAAGACTAGCGAGGTCATCCTAAAACTGTATCTTCCTCTTGTGAGACCACACCTGGATTACGCAGTTCAGTTCTGGTCACCGTATTACAGAATGGACATAGAATCCTTGGAAAGAATTCAGAGGAGAATGACAAGACTAATCCCGGGCATTAGGAATCTTGAGTATAGAGACAGGTTAAAGCATCTTAATTTGCACTCCCTTGAGAGACGTAGAGCGAGGGGCGACCTGATAGATGTGTATAAGTGGAAGGCAGGGCTAAACAAAGGGGACATTACAAAGGTACTCAAACTATCCAACCAGGAGCGAACTCATAACAATGATTTTAAATTAGACAAATTTAGATTTAGGCGTAAAATAGGTAAACACTGGTTTGAAAACAGAGTAGTGGATGAATGGAACAAGTTACCAAATATCATCATTAACTCGAATACACTGAATTGCTTCAAACATAGGTTGGATGCTCATATGAGCAATAGGGGTTGGGTGTAAACGGGACTGCCCAGTATGGGCCAATAGGCCCACTGCAGTTTCCTCCATTCTTATGCTCCTCTTCCGACCCCAGCACACCCGTCCTGCCTCAGACGCCGACCCTGGCCCAACAGTAACCCCTGCCGCCCCTGATGCGGCCTCTGTTCCTGAGTGCGGACCCACACACCCCTCTTTTCTCCCTCAGGTACTCCCTGCTAATGTCCTGCACCCTGCTGCTGTCGTGGACCCAGCTGCTGTCACGAGCCCTCATCCGCTTCTGCTGACGCAGCCCCTGCTCCTGACCCAGGCCCACACACCCCAGCAGGCGCATCTGAAGACTCTGTACCTGCCATGAGGGAAGCACAACATTCATTGCCTCCACACACCCTTTTTCTCCCTCTCTTCTCCCACAGATAGTGTGTATCTAGACAGTTGTATCCAGCGACCGGCTCATCCACGCCATCGCCGTTGTCTCACATGAGGCATGAACCGCCCGTTCTGCCTCACATGTGCTATGCAACCCTGCAGACAACAAGTCTCCGACACCGCCTGGAGGGAAGGGGGAGTATTGTAGTGGATTTCTCCCCTACAAACGCTGTTTGTCGCTGAGTAGCCGACCCCACCAATTCCCCAGTGTATGCCTCGTGGTCTAGGTCAACCAGCGCCGCCATACATCACGGAGCGGGGTTCAACTACTAAGCCACGCCTACCCCCCGCTATTTAAGACCTGACCTCGTGGTGACCTGCCCTCTTTCTACCTACACCAACCAGCCAGCAACACCTCCTCCTCCTCCTCCGCCTGCCTGGCGGTACTCGCTCCTCCCGGCGAGCATGGCGACCCACAAGCTGTCCTCCTGTGAGCATCCTCACCAACCAGCTCTCTCTACGTCACGCTTGTAACCATGCTGCCTTCCCAGCACCAAGCTGCATTGTACATCCAATACAACATGTATACAGAGAGCACATTGTGAGTTTCCTTTCTCCAACCATCCTGAGTGTGAACCAAAACATCTTGAACCCCACAAGTCTACATTAAAAAAAGAAATGAGCGCTTAAGAACAATATTGATTTATATTTTAAGTACTGTACTGCCCAATATACATTATACATCATCAAGTCATTAAAGTTTATAATTTATAAGATAAATTAGACTCTATATTCAAGGGAGAAGAAAATGAGGTTTTATGTAAGAGTTGAGGTGGTATGGCAACAAGAGGCGGCTGTCTGGCTGGTGGTCGCAGACTCGCAGTGGCTGGCAGTGTTTATCATGGGTCAGCTGACAGTGGTGGTGGCCGCCTGATGCCTCACACAACACCATCATGGAACACAACTCTGTAGATGCCTGTATAGAAGAGTGGGAGACACTTAGTAATGAGTATCGGGCATTAGAGGTGAGTGAACTTAACGTTTCTTAACATTAGTAATTTCCTCACGATTTTACCTTAACAGTAGTGCAGTGGATACTCTTGGCTACAGTAGAACCTTGACCTTGTGTTGTCCCACCTTATAACCACATGTTATTGTCTCACCTTAACTACATCTTTACCATTATTATTATTATTATTATTATTATTATTATTATTATTATTATTATTATTATAACCGTATGGTATTGTCTTACGGGTACACCCCATTTTGTCGCCAATCCACATCGTCACCGACCCGATTCGTCACCAAAACCTCAATTCACCACCAATACCAATTCCGTTTCATCATCACTAACAGTCGTTGGTGCAGTGACAAATTGTAAGTTATTATTTTACATGAATAGAAATTACACATTCATACAGACGACTCGATAATTATTGCATTATTATCATACATGAATATTAATTGTTTAATAAAGAAAACGAATTAAAATTGGTAAATAAACAAAATACAGAGCAAATGAAGGTGATTTGGCACCAGCGCATCAACCACCGAGCAGTGAGATGATTGTAGGCTATTATCAATGTTTTTACTTTATATTTGCGTCTTTAATAAATTGTCTATGTTTTTCTATTTTTTTATATCCCAAGCAACAGTTATTTTTGTGTTCATATTGGTGGGAATGAATAGGGTGACGAAATGAGTAAAACAGTGGTTACAACTATAATAAGGCAGTGGTTATTTGTCCAGTGTAGCAACACCCCCAGTCTGAGTGTTCTTGCTATTGTTATTTACATGTGCGGAATCTCTGAGACCGTTGTATATGTGGCCTGAGAGCTCCTCCAGTTTGGTTAGGTTGTGGGGTACGTGATATTTGGTTCATACTCAGGATGGGATGGAGAAAGGAAACTCACAATGTGCTCTCTGTATACATATTGTATTGGATGTACAGTGCAGCTTGGTGCTGGGAAGTGGCAGCGTGGTTACAAGCGTCATGTAGAGAGAGCTGGTTGGTGAGGGTGCTCAGAGGAGGACCAGCTTGTGGGTCGCCATGCTCGCCGGCGGGAGCGAGGACCGCCAGGCAGGAGTGGAGGATGAGGTGTTACTTGCTGCCGCTGTAGGTAGAAAGAGACAGGTCACCACGAGGTCAGGTCTTATATAGCGGAGGTAGGCGTGGCCTAATAGTTGACCTCCGTCATGTAAGGCGGCGCTGGTTGACCTAGACCACGAGGCATACACTGGGGAATTCGCGGGGTCGGCTACTCAGCGACAAGCGTTTGTAGGGGAGGAATCCACTACAAGGTTATGTCAGGTCAGGATAGTGATGAAAAATATGTTTTTCCTCTGTGTTTTGAATGAATTTGATCTTCAAAACTGGCATAAGTCACACGTTATTTTAGTTTCCCCCCCACCCAAAAACCCCAGTTCTCACGGGGTCCCCCATTATTGTGACAGTTTTGAAGGTCAAATTCATTAAAAACACAGCAAAATACATAGGAAAAATATATTTTTGAGTCATTAGAAGATTCTAGGACTAAACGTAACATTACCCATAGGTCTTAAGGGCTTAAGTGCATGCAGAGGAGCGCACTGATTGGGGGAGTAGATAGACCGTGACACCGGTCATGGATCTTTCCATAATTCGGTAAAGATTTGTTTTATGACCAACTTTTTTTTTTTAATTACTAAATCGTTGTTTTCTTATGAATTTTGTCATTTTGACGAATGTGATCTTTATTTTTGGAATTAATACTTATTTAGTGAGCTATGACCCCATTAACACTAGTTATGACAATGAATCCTTCCAAACTGGGCCGGGCTTTGAAGATGAGGGAAAATGCATGATTAAAGCCAAAAAGCTACACCAATATAATCTTTGAGAACCCTACCTAACCTTTCCGTATGTTATGTTATTTGATATATGAAAATTCACCTAACAAATGGTTTTCAAGGAATCCAACCCATTCATAAAGGGAGGGATACCTGTATTATTATTATTGTTGTTGTTAATAATAGGATGAAAACATTAGAAAACCAAAAGTAGGAAATTTTCAATTACTCTACCCATTTATTCTTTATATTCATGAGGTAAGAAACAAGTTTTCTTTTATACAGTACAGTATAAAATTTTCCTAGAGTAATTCATTCCCATATAATGTAAGTCAGATGTGGATCAAGGAAAAAGACTTACTTTGAATTTAAGTTACCAAGTGTCAAGTTAGACTGAGTACCTGGGATCACTGTGAGAGGAGTACTGTACAGTATAATATTATGTTCATGATACCATGGTTCTTCACACACACACTTCTTAAATAGATTGAAATTTGTTTTTTATTTTCCACTGGAGTTGCATTTATGCATTAGCTATAGCAATTATTTTGGTGAAAGATCTGAAGGGAGATGTCATTGTGTTGAGTCTAAAAGACAGCTTCATTATACAGTAGTAAACCCTGACATTGTGTTATTTCTCACCTTGATGACACCTTCACCATCTTTAGTTAGTCATGTGCACTCAGATGGAATACTACCATGTATGGGCTGGAAGCAGTGTTAAGGCATTTTGCCTCCTCGGTTTATACAAAAAAAAGAACAACAAACAATAAGTCTTTATTCAAATACTTCCATTTGCACATCGTGAGAGATATCTCATCTCATCACTTTTTCTGGCAAGAGGATCCCTTGGTGACTAAATAATTATGACATTGACATTTATCTTTCTGTACATTTTTTAAAATTTAATGAATATGTGCCTTGAGTTTATGTTATCTTATCATAAATGCTGCACACCATCTCCATTATAGTACACTTTGACCTAGTGTTATCTTATAGTACAGTACTGTACAGTACAGTAACTGCACCTTCACCCCTCTGGCTAAATACAGTACAGTGGGTAAGTTTACAAATGCTTCACAGCTGCAGGGTTGAGTAAGCTTGGTCAGGTGTAAGGAACACATTCAAGAGGATCTAAACAAAATAGCAGAATGGTCAGAAACTTGGCAGACAAAATATAACACAGATATACAGTATACACATGTCTGCTGCAAATCCAAAACACAGATGTTTGATAGGCCATTAGACATTGTTACAAGAAAATGGTTTGGGTGTTATGATTGCTGATAGTTTCTAATCTGGTAGACATTGCCTAGGAACAAGTACAGTAACAAAGAAAACAATGTGTTAGGAATTTAGAGACAAAAAATTTTAGTCCAAGACCTAAGAAAATTTTGGCACGAAGCAATATCTTTTTTAGGGCTCAGAAGATGCAATTCAGTTCTGGTTGTCTTTGGAAAGATGTTGACAGGATAGACAGTGTATAATGATGTGTAACCAAACTCTTGCCTAGCTTGAGAAATAAGTCTTATGAAGACAGACTAGTTGAATTAAACTTATTCTTAGAGGAATGACATACGTACAGTGCAGGCATGCCCCAATCTGCAAAAGGATTCCATTTTTTTATGGGATTAGCCCACCAGGGCACAGGTCAATGACCCACATCAGGGCCTGGGGGCAAAAATGTAATAATAGTAATAATAATAATTAATAATAATAAAAATTAATAAAAAAATATTAAATAAAAAATATAATAATAATAATAATAATAATAATAATAATAATGATAATGATAATAATAACAATAATAAAGGACCATAAATAAAAAAGAAAAGAAAAAAGATCAATAGTGAGAAATGATATACTGTATGTTGTGTTGTCAAAATAAGAGAAACAATTGAAACCCTGCAAATGTGTGTAAATGAGGCAGAAAGTCAGATCAGCAACCTTGGATTTGGTCACAATTTTGGTAAAGCCATATGACATGTTCCTACAAAAAAAAGGCCTTCGCCAAAACATCTTAAATTGCGATAAAACATGTTTTTAATGAAATTTGTTTGTATACACACTGATTATAAAACCCAACCAAGTCATGTAATTTTAATGTGGTAATGACCCACCAACAGTAAGTCTTATACATACACTGTAAGTAAACACTGTATACATCTTGAGATGTTTTGCTTAATTCTTAACATACACCAAACAGAATAATTTTTTTATAATACAGTATAATAGTATCAGTACAGTAACTGTACAAGTACTGTTATGTTCCACACCCAACATGAATGTAAGCTTATGCAAGTAGATAAACTCAATGTAAATAAACTACAGATGGGGGAGGGGCCTCATGATCATAAATAATTTATGACTGTCTAAGACATAAATCAGCCAAAACTTGTTCCTCCAAATATTAAGACAAGTTTATTTTGTAAGCTTATGTTGATTTGTTTCATGTGCTGCTTTATCCTTTTGAAGTGAGAATGGATAATACTATGAAATAGGAGATACATAGTTAAACAGTAATAGTTACCTGAGAGGTATTGTTACTTATTAAAGTGAACAGGGTTTTGTTAGGGTTAGGGTCAGGAAGACTAGGAGTTGGGAGAGAAGGTTTGATTAAATATGAAGAGATAACAAAGTTGATAAGGAAAGTATTTGTGATAAATCTGGTGGAGTTAACTTTGGTATTATAAGGTGAGGTACCATACATGATACATTATATGACAGCCTTGGATTAGGTGACCACAGTTTCCCCTCGGAAATCTTAAGTACTCTGCCCTTCTGCGAGGAGCAGAGGAAAAGAAAATGTTGAAGATTTGTGAATTTGTTGCTGTTGTACTGCTACTTGCAGCTAGAGAGTTATGTTTAAGGCCACTAAATCAGATATATCATAATGCATTTGTCTTGATCAAGATGTTTGGTACCATCACCTCTGATGTGAAGCTTTACTAAATGGTCATTACAGGTACTATACAGAGTTATTATTATTATCGTTATCATTACTATTTTATTATATATTTTTTTTATTAAAAATTTTATTTACTATGAATTATTATTATTATTATTATTATTATTATTACTATTACATTTTTGCCCCGATGTGGGTCAGTGACTTGTGCCCGGGTGGGTTAATCCCCGTTAAAAAAAAAATCATCGATATGTGCGAAGACCCTATTCCTACCAGGAAATCAATTAATGCGAGCAAAATTTAGCCTTATGCAAGATGTCATACTCCCTGATTGGATTCCAACCCTGATGACTCTGCAGATGTCACTCCAACGCCATCAACCACTATGTAAAACCTCTACCACCACCATCTCGTCTACCAAAGTTGATGTACTCTATCTGCTTTTGTTGTTAAGTTCAGTAAACCCTTGATAACCCAGCACATATGGGGCTCTAGCCTTGCCACTTATCCCAAATTCCAACTTGTCGAGGCACTTCCCCCCTCCTACAAAAATACAATAAAAAATTATTGACCCATATATGTGTACATGTAATTACTAAATGTAAAAAAGTAACACTTACCAGCACTGCAGACGAAGAATGATGCATCATAGTAGGTGACACAGAGGCATGGTAGGTGACACAGAGGCATGGTAGGTGACACAGAGGCATGGTAGGTGACACAGGGTATCGTAGGTGACACAGAGGTATAGGTAGGTGACACAGAGGTATAGTAGGTGACACAGGTATAGTAGGTGATACATATAGTAGGTGACACAGAGGCATGGTAGGTGATACAGAGGCATGGTAGGTGACACAGAGGTATCGTAGGTGACACAGAGGTATAGTAGGTGACACAGAGGTATAGTAGGTGACACAGAGGTATGTAGGTGACACAGAGGTATAGTAGGTGACACAGAGGCATGGTAGGTGACACAGAGGCATGGTAGGTGATACAGGGGCATGGTAGGTGATACAGAGGCATAGTAGGTGATACAGAGGCATGGTAGGTGACACAGAGGTATAGTAGGTGATACAGAGGTATAGTAGGTGACACAGAGGCATGGTAGGTGATACAGAGGCATGGTAGGTGATACAGAGGTATAGTAGGTGACACAGAGGTATAGTAGGTGACACAGAGGTATCGTAGGTGACACAGAGGTATAGTAGGTGACACAGAGGTATAGTAGGTGACACAGAGGTATAGTAGGTGACACAGAGGCATGGTAGGTGATACAGAGGCATGGTAGGTGACACAGAGGTATAGTAGGTGACACAGAGGTATCGTAGGTGAACACAGAGGTGTAGTAGGTGACACAGAGGTATAGTAGGTGACACAGAGGTATAGTAGGTGACACAGAGGCATGGTAGGTGATACAGAGGCATGGTAGGTGACACAGAGGTATAGTAGGTGACACAGAGGTATAGTAGGTGATACAGAGGTATAGTAGGTGATACAGAGGCATGGTAGGTGACACAGAGGTATAGTAGGTGACACAGAGGTATAGTAGGTGACACAGAGGCATGGTAGGTGATACAGACTCATGGTAGGTGACACAGAGGTATAGTAGGTGACACAGAGGCATGGTAGGTGATACAGAGGTATAGTAGGTGATACAGAGGCATGGTAGGTGATACAGAGGTATGGTAGGTGATACAGAGGTATGGTAGGTGACACAGAGGTATAGTAGGTGACACAGACGTATAGTAGGTGACACAGAGGCATGGTAGGTGACACAGAGGTATAGTAGGTGACACAGGCATGGTACGTGATACAGAGGCATGGTAGGTGATACAGAGGTATAGTAGATGACACAGAGGCATGGTAGGTGATACAGAGACATGGTAGGTGATACAGAGGCATGGTAGGTGATACAGAGGTATAGTAGGTGACACAGAGGCATGGTAGGTGATACAGAGGCATGGTAGGTGATACAGAGGCATGGTAGGTGATACAGAGGCATGGGAGGTGATACAGAGGTATAGTAGGTGACACAGAGGCATGGTAGGTGATACAGAGGCATGGTAGGTGACACAGAGGCATGGTAGGTGACACAGAGGCATGGTAGGTGATACAGAGGCATGGTAGGTGACACAGAGGTATCGTAGGTGACACAGAGGCATGGTAGGTGATACAGAGGCATGGTAGGTGACACAGAGGTATCGTAGGTGACACAGAGGTATAGTAGGTGACACAGAGGTATAGTAGGTGACACAGGTATAGTAGGTGATACAGAGGTATAGTAGGTGACACAGAGGCATGGTAGGTGATACAGAGGCATGGTAGGTGACACAGAGGTATCGTAGGTGACACAGAGGTATAGTAGGTGACACAGAGGTATAGTAGGTGACACAGAGGTATAGTAGGTGACACAGAGGTATAGTAGGTGACACAGAGGCATGGTAGGTGACACAGAGGCATGGTAGGTGATACAGGGGCACGGTAGGTGATGCAGGTGGCCAGATTTTCCCAGATAATTTTACATATCTCGGCATTACCCAAGTTATACTTCTACATTCTGAGGCCATATCCATGCTGAGTTATATGAAATTCCAAGTTATCAAATGCCAAGGTATCAAGGGTTTACTGTATAGTACACTTGCTTTATCTATTATTTCAAAATAATATTGTATTGATTTGTTTTATAGTTTATTTGTCTTGAAAATGAGCCGAGAACATTTTCATTTTGAGTTTTGGAATGCAACCTATTTTTTCCACTTACCCCCGGTAACTAAGTATTCGATATGTGCAAGGGTTATCAGAAATGCATCCCTCGCATATATTGAGGACTTGCTATACTATACTGTGCTACACTATACTAAAAGACCTCCTGTCTCATGAAGGTAATTGTTACACTTGATCTCTATTATGGTACTGAAATAATACTGTTGGGTTAATGGAAAATGAAGTGTGATTGGTTTACCCATTTGGGTTATAATAACTCTGACTGAATAACTGGGAATTGTCTGAGGACATAAAACACCCCAATTTGCAACCTTTACTTTATTCTGAGAAGCTGCCTGACTATGGGCATTGTAAGTCGGGAAATTAATTTATATTATGTGAACAAAAGTAGAGGATATGAGGAAGTGTTCTCTTTCTACTCATTGTTTCAGCCTTTCCTGTTATTTCAATGCTTATCTTGTTTTACTTTCCTCTACATATTTATGTTTCTTAGATGTCTTTGTATCCCTTATTTCACCCAACACAGAAGTGAGAGAGGAGTAAAAGTAAGAATTTCATTGTTCCAGCAAAATTTTGGTAACAATATTTTGAGAAATAGTAAAATTATTTAATAATATTTTAATGTTCCTAATTCATTGCTCACACTTTGTTTATCTTTTCTTCAGAAAATCCATAAGGAGTATCGACAGAAATTGGAAGAATTGACACAACTTCAACAGAAATGCATCAAAGGGATTGCACACCAACGCTATCGCATAACTGTAATCAAGCGGTCCCTTAAAAAGTTAGTTTAACACATTTATGATTATCTTTTGAAATTTTGAGTACGAGATGTTATATATTGTACTGTACTGTATACTGTAACTCTAGATAGGCTTTTGAGAAAGGAAGTTGCATCACATAAAATTTCCTTGTACTTGTAAGAGGCATCTCCTTGATTTTTACCCAACTGTACAGTATATACTGCTGACTTGTTTATAAGTATGTATGTACAGTAATAATTTTAATTAAGATAGTCCATTATATTAATGAAGAAATTTGTTGACAGGTTAGACCACAGGGATGACCCAGACAATAATGAAAGGAATGAACTTCTGCAAACTGACCTCATTCGCCGTAAAGCTCAGCTCTATGACATGGAGAACAACATTCCAAAGCAGAGTGGCCTTTACCTTAAGATCATCCTTGGCAATATTAATGTTTCGATTCTAAATAAAGATGAGAAGTAAGTGCTGTAAATGTTATTATCAAAGGTATGAGGGATGCATCCCTTCTCAAATGGCTTCAAGTTGGGGAAATATCAAATGAGATTTAAAAATTTTAATTATTTTTCTAAAGGAAAATATTGAAATGGATTACTGTAATTTAGATGAAAGGTAAGACTGAGATATTTTTTAACATAATCATGTTCTGTACTGTACACAAGTTGGCCAGTTAAACATTAATAATTATCCACAGGCCGTATTTTACTGGGAAAGGCACTATAACAACCTCACGGCTCCTGCCAACACCTCTGCAAGCCCCTATTTGTCCACATTTTAGCTATGGTTATCAGTGTTGCCCAATCAAGGCAACTTTTTAGCAGTGTTTTCTTATTATGCAAATGGTGTCGCATACCTAAGCTGTCAAAAGACCTGTAATGTATAATAAAAATGTGGAGATTATTAGAAGGGTGGGAGAGGGGCAAACCTCACATATCCCTTAGATATTTTATACTGGAAACACTACATTCAGTAAAGTCAGTCGAACAAATACCTGCAGAACGAGAACTTGGTTTATTGATCGTAGTGTTTTAGGATGTGGAGATTCAAAGAACGAATTTGCATGTGATTTAGCGAGAAAGATTGATTGATCTAGCTTTCATTATCATTCATGGAGTCATTCTTTGGCACAGGGCTCAGCAGCCAGTCAGGTGAGTGCATTCAGAGATGCAGTCAATGACAGGCTATCCTAGTTTATCTAGCCATTGAGTCTAGACAACTTGGTGACATTTGTTTTCTGATCACATCACAGGCCAGTATCACCTGTGCACTTGTGCTGTCAACAGCTTGCTTTTATTACTCAGAAAGCTTTGTGGAGTATAAACAGGTGTGCTGCCCTTAAACTCTCAAAACAAATGCAAGAGTGATAGTACTGAATGCAGTAGTGCAAAAAGAAAATGTAAAGTGGTTGATATTTAAAGATCTTAAGATCCTTTGCCTCCTATATGATTGTATCTGCATATGCCTGCCAGCTGACTTGGCCTCCACTTATTCACCAATAAATGTTACTGTACTATATTTAAAAGTTGTGCTGATAAGCAAAGTCTTTCTTAGTACTGGTTAGTAGAGGCAGACTCTGATTTACAAAAGGGTTCTGTTCCTGTGAGAACCCTTTTGTAAATTGGATCCCATTATACAACCAATAGTTAAATGTCTGTGGGCACTGTACTGAATTGATGACTCACCTGGATTGCTTCTTCATCCCTCCCAGTTATAAAAAGTTGCTTCCTTTTTTTTTTCAGGAATAACTTTCATATCCATTAAACCAGTCTTTTTGTAATTGTACTCATGTGTTTAATATTTTCTGTCTTCAGGTACCGATACAAAGATGAATATGAGAAGTTTAAACTTGTCATTAATCTGGTAGCTTTTGCCATCTCTACTTTCAACATACTCACCAATATAAGGTAATACAGGGAACTGTAATGAGAGAGATTTATAATGGAACCCATAGCTGTTGTACCTGATTGACACATGGACAATCTTGGCTGTAGTTCACAGGGGGGCGCCACCACCACTCACCAGTGACATGATACAAGAATTTTTTCTCGTTAATGCTCATAATAGTAGCTAATCTTTTGTCACTCCGGTTATCAATACATAATGTGTAGATATATAATTATCTTAAATTTTAAATGTATTATTTATACTGTTATTTTAATGTTATATTACAATTTCATTTATTGGATTCAGACAAAATGACTGAATTTACTGACCAAATTCTGACACTGGATAAAATTTGAACCCTTTGGATAGCTCAAGTAGGTTAGAGACTTGCAGATGTTGAGTTAAAGGAATTCAATTGTGCTTATTTGTAAGTTTCTGTGTTGGTATGATAGAGATGTTTAACTAATTTTTGTTTATTTATTATTTATTGTTATTATTATTATTATTATTTTTTTTTTTTTGCAGGACTGCTGATCTTGTTCACATGTTTCTTTTGGTGTGGTACTACTGCACTTTAACCATCAGAGAAAGTATTCTTAAGGTTTGTATTCTGAGTGTGGTAATACTGCATCTTGGAACAGCACCAGGATATGTCCAGATGATGATTAATTTTAAATAGCAGAATGTTCCCAGATTATTTACACAGTTATAAACACAAGAAAATCTTCACAACCAAAAGACAATTAGCTTTTACCAGTTTTTACTAAAAAGAAATAAGAGTAGCTTAATATTCTATCATCTTATAACTTAAGAAGGCTGAATTGATACAGCACTGTACTTGCCTCTAGTTTTAAGGTGGCACTCCTACTTCACCCAGCTGTAAATAGATACCAACATTTACAAGTACGGGAAGTGAAGGAAGCCGAGTGTAATGCTGGACACGCTGCCTCCTTGTAGATCTTACAGGGATGCAGCAGTAGGTCATCTGGCCTTCATACATTATTCATAGCAAGATAGATCTTAAACCAATCACCATTTTATCATGAAAATATATAGCACTGGATAGACACATACATACATTCTTACATACAGGTATCCTTCGTTTAGCATTAATTTTTTTTACCCTTTCTCACTTAATGTTAGGTCAAAATTCAGTTTAGTGATAGCATGACTCTTTGTAATGTCAACCACACTATATCTGCAATTCATCCTTCTTTTACTTCTATTATTCCTCCATTTTGTCTCTGCCTCCTCTTCCTTATTCTTCTTACTCCTCCTCTTCATTTTTCCTGTTTTTTGGTTCTTCAATTCTTCAGACTTGCTTTTTCTTTTTTCTCAAAGTTAACATCTGAAACTGTTTTACAGAACAGTTTTAAAACAGCAAGCTGGCACAAGATGACTGTTTGTGAGGTTAATTAACTTGTAGTTATTGATTGTAAAAATTTTGTAATTTATGGCATTCCTGAGCATTCATTTTCCTCCATCTCCTTGTTCTAGTTAGCCTTTGCAAATTGATAACCATTTATGAACATTTGTAATCATGAATGGGGGATTGAATTCTGAAACCCAATTTCATAATTAATAAGTGAACTAATGACTTATGTTTCCACTCTTCTTCCTAAGATTTAATGTGATTTGGTACTGTACTGGGTCCTGTTTACAGTGAACAGGAGGGGAGAATTTGTAGGGATAATTTCAGTTATCGAATGACATTATCTTAAATTGCAACATTCTTATCAAGGCAGCAATCTTTTCTTTTGAAACTGAGAAATTCAGGTATGGTTTGGAGTAGTAGCTGTGTAAAAAGTTTTTCATTTTATTTCTGGAGTATGGCATCATGGCTCTGTTGTATGGATCAAATGAATTTCATATATTACATATCACATGCGAGTGAAAGTGGATCCCATAGGCATGCCTGCCTGTTAGAGACAGTACAGTATACTATATTAAGCCTTCAGTATGGATGTAGGCAAAGCTGCCAGCACTATACTCAACTACCTTCTCTTCCTCAGCTAGTAAAGTTTGGTACCCATTTACATCTAGGTGGACTGGGAGCATTCCAGGATTGAACCACTGGCCCTTGGGACAGGATGCAAGTGTTATATCCACTTGACTACTGTATCCCTTTATATTACTGTACGGTGTTAACCTTACAATAGATATTAACTGAGTTCTTGGAGATAAATGCTCTCAATTAATCCATTTTAAGATAAATATATTGGAAGTTTATGATGCTTTACAGGTGAATGGTTCAAGAATCAAAGGCTGGTGGAGAGCACATCACTTCATATCAACAGTATTGTCTGGTATCTTACTGATATGGCCAAATGGGGAAACTTACTATGCATTCCGCAAACAGTTTATGTTCTTCAATATGTATATTAGTAAGTACATTAAATATAATGGTTTCATCTTCTTAAGATAAAAAATCTGTTCCATGATATATTGAAGTTTAAATTGAGCCTGCAAGAAATATATCACAATACAGCCATCATCAATGGAATTTAGCTGTTGGGACGGGGGTCATCATCAGTTGATGTTTCATGTTCTTGTGTTCACTTTTTGTGCATATGGGGGCAGAGCAAGGAAGATTTAGTGGCCAGTTAAGAGTTAATAAATACTGTATGCAAGTGATATCTCCATTAGCCAGAACAATTGGTGCAGAGCACTTCCAGGAATGAGAGATTTTGGGTAACGAGATGACTCAAAGCCGGAAAGAAATCCCTCATCCCCGGACTTTTTTGGGTAACAGAAAAATTTTCTTGGAAGTTCAAGAAATTGCACATAATCGTCTCTCGAACCCAGAAAATTATCCCCCATCCCTGGAATTTTCTGGGTACCAGAACATTTTTCTTGGAAATTCTTGAAAATGTGCCCGATTTTCATCTCTCAAACCTGGGGGGAAAAAGCTCACCCCATCAGCGGAATTTTCCGAGTACAGGTACTGGGAAAATTTTCTTGGAATTTTAAAAAAAATTGGCTCCTCGGAAAATCTTTCCCAAAGCTGTAATTTTCCGGACAATTCTGGCTTTCTGAACGATTTTCTGAGAAAATTTCAATTCCGCCTATCGGAAAGTTCCAGTTAAGCAGGAGTCCAGCTAACGGAGATATTACTGTACAGGTAACTCGCATTTGATTTAAGCGTTAATGGAATAACGCAATTGTTCGATTAATACCAAAAGCTAATTTACGCTCACCTATATTTGAAATGATGCGCTCAAGACAGTTTAAATTTGCCATGCGTATTCGCCTGGTCGCCTGGCAGTGGAATCGCGTGTGATACCTGGTGAGGTGCTTGTGAGTTATTACTATAAAGTCGCAGTCATATCAACATCAACGATTTTAATATTATTATTAATAATTAGTATACTAATGTAATTATAAAGATTATTACTACTAATGATGAAGATAATGATGATAATGAAGTATTCTGTACAACAACTGTGATGACGTCCAACAAGCTTCCCATGTATCACTTTCTCAGTTCACACCAGCACTACCTTTTCTCTGTGCTCTCATTTGCATTGTGTGTTTATCACGTACCCTTTTAGTGTTAAACGCTGTTTTCCCCATTGAGCATGTCTGGAAAACGTCCATCTGCCTTCTCTGGGGCGCCTAAAGCTAAAAAGGCACGAAAAACAATCGCAATGGACGTGAATTAAATGTGATCACCCACCTTCAGAGAGGAGAGTGTGTGTCGGAGGTTGGCCTCATGCTTGGTTTAAGTGAGAGCATTGTTCGTACCCTGTGCGGTATATGATGGTTCCCCTAACCTGTACTATTTACATGTATTCTTATGGGAAAATTTATTAATTTACGCGTTTTTGAATTAAGCAGTGATTTTCAAGAACGTAACCCCCACGTAAAACGAGAGGTGGGTGGGTACAGAAAACCTATATTGCTAGGCTGTATACTTATCACATAAATATTGTAGTGTTAAATGTACCTGGGCTGTCTACAGTGTAACTGGAGAGGGTTGTGAACTAAACCTGAACTCTGAAACTTTGGGTTGTGATAGAATGTTTTTGGTCAGGGAGGTTCTTGGTGTGGAAGGGATACACCGGCGTTTTACTTGAGCCTCGTGTTAGCAGTTTATTCGGGTACTTTACTGCTGCTATTTGGTAAAATAGTAATACTGTATTGTGATATTTATAGGTCAGGCCTTCATCCTACCCCAACCATAAAGTAGGATTTCACTCGGTCATTGCAGTGTCTCCAGGCATATGCTCATGTATTCAGTGCTGAAAGTGTTGTTTTTTTCTGTTGTAGGTTTTGTACAGTACCTGTTGTTCATGTACCAGCGTGGCTGCCTCTATCGTCTCAAAGCTCTAGGGGAACGACACAATATGGATATTACTGTTGAAGGCTTCCACCATTGGATGTGGCGAGGTCTTGGCTTCATCATCCCATTTCTGTTAATAGGATATATATGGGAGCTATATAATGCCTACACTCTGTACCTCCTGTCCTTCTCTGATAATGCAGAGTGGCATGTAAGTAATTTAACAGGAAAGTTTAATTTATAGTTGGCATATTATGTTTCGTCATATTTTCATGGGAATACTGTATTAGCTTACTAACCATTCAGGCGGTTGGTCTATGCTTTATTACTTTGTTAGTACAGGAGAAAACTGGAGTACAGTACATGGAGGTCACACTGGATAGCACCCTTACGAAGAAAAACTTTAAAAAATTTAACCATTTACATACAGTAATGCTTTATAATTAATAGTACAGTACATGCTAGTAAGTTTAGACGTATTGTATTCTATGGTTTTGTATAATGTGTACAGGTATTGCACTTCACAAATGTAACTACAGTACTTTGATATGTGAGGGAGGTTAGAGTGTACTGGCTTGAAGTGAGAGGTGGCACAAATGCTTAGTTAAGCAAACATTTGGGTTTAATTGTGGGACTGTTGCACCTACTGCAGCACCATATACGATAGAGTACAGTAGTATAACTTCATGTCCCTATATTAAAATAAAAAGATTGAAATACTGTACAGTAGCAGGAAAAAAAATATTCACTCTTATTGTTACTATATTAATACAGAGTCTAGAATACTTTGTCCTAAGACATGTGGCACCACTGTGCTGCCTCCCTACCACCCAATGCTCTCCCCATTGCAAGATGCTGCTCACAGATGCCTCAAATACCTGTGTCAGCATCTTGGCAACTTTTGATTTTACAAATATAAACTTTGTAAAGGTAGGATTATTATTTTTTTCTTTAAAGAGTGAACCTTGGGAAACAGAGGCTTCATAAACCAAGGTATACCTGTACTTTGCAACTGCAATATGTATTTTGTTGACACTTTGTCTGTATTTTAATTTAATTTCAGGTTTCAACTCTGGCTATTCTGTTTTTCCTCCTGTTTTTGGGAAACACCCTCACAACCCTGTCAGTCATACCTCAGAAGCTCAAGGAACGTATGAAATTTAAGTATCGTTTCACTCGCCTTGATAAGTATATCTGGACACACAAAAAAAGACGAGTTTCTTTCAGGTATGTTGTTCCAACTGTATCCTTTAATTTTTTTTAATATTAGAAATATCACCATTAACTTTTAGACAGCATATCTGTGTACAGTATAGTGGAACTTGGCTGGAACATGAGTTTCTGCATCATAATTGGCTAAATTTTTTCTGTTTCATTGGGGCGATATAGTACTGTACAGTATTTCTGTCATGATTTACATAGATGCCTTGAAAGCTGTAGAAGAGGCTCCAGCACAAAGAACAATACCAATCAGTGGTCTGTTTTTGTATGACTTAAAGAAAATGTATTGTATATGGAAAATTTTGTTTTAATCTTATTTGAACATGAAATAGAAGCTGTAGAGCCAGTACAGTGATTGAAAGAGTGTGTGAATAAAGTTATTGACATACGAAATGAAGATTGGAAAGGCTGCTGGTAGTTCTGGAATAGTTGCCAAAATGTTGAAAGCTTGAGACAATGGTGATGGTAATGGAATTGACTAATGTAATTATGATGGAATGTATTGCCCCAGTTGAGACTGAAGAGCACAATTGTAAATCTGTACAAGGGTAAATATGGAAGCTTCAGTGCCTCAAGCTGTTAGATTGGGTTAGGAAAGTTTTTAAAGTGTGATTGAAAAATTTATTTGGGTTTGTATGAGGTTGGGGTACAACAGAGGCAATATTTACGGCCTAGAAACTACAAGAGAAATATCTCGGAAAGGAAAGAAAATTGTACTTTGTACATGTAGACTTAAAGAAGGTCATATCTAGTCAGGTTCATCCAGTCACTGGAGCACAAATAAATGCTCTGGTAGTCCAGATAGACCTAGGACCAAGAAGCAGTGTGTGATATTTTATCAACTTGTATTACGAGCTTGGAAACAGAAATTTTAACACAATAGTTACTACCGGTAAGTGTTTTGGAAAAAGAAATTATGTTATTAACACCCCCTCTAGGTGCTTTGTGAAGTGTAGGCAAGTGTACGTTGAATATACTGTACCACTATTTGTTTAGGATATTAGCTACTTTTAGGAAAGTTTACTAATTATTTAGATTAATCCAAACCATTAATGTCAATTCACCTGAGTCATAGACTGTTGGCTTAGTGTGCAGAGCACACTACTGTACGTACATTACTGTACATGGAATTAATGAGTAAGGAATAACCTACCAAATTTTATGTAATTGTATATTGTTTCTGACAGGAACCCTGAGTCTCCCCAGCGACGTACCCCAGCTGCTCGAGCTGCTTCTTTCTCAAAAAAGAGACCAGAAGTGAAGGAAGAAGATGAGGTTCTTACCATGAACCTTCTAATACAGGTACTTGGTGACTTCATAAACAGTGTACAGTGTGAACTTGAGTCTCGGTAGCATGAGTGAGAGTATCAGTACTCATTTTTAAAAGTGAATGATATGTGTTAAGAATGATAAGGAGTTCAATGACCAGTGTCGTCGTCTTTGATACATTCAGTGCCTAACTAACATGCATGGGTTGTGGGTGTTGGAAATACAAAATTAGCTAATTGGTACACAAAAAGTGTACAGAAATGGAAGATGGGTAAATTGCAGTAACTTCCTGTTCATTGAGAAGCACAAAGGAGAATGATGTTGTAATTAAAAATTTCTGTAAGGTGGAGTAAAGCAGGTTATCTCAGGTAAAGGATTATGCACCTGTGTGTCAACCATGACATGCCATTTGGACTACAGTCTTCCACTATACCTTAATCTATGGATTGTGTTGTGGTCATATTAGGTGTGTCGAGCTGGAGCCAGGTCTTGCTGCAGTCCAACTCTTTCTTCTGTTTAGGACACAACTAGAATAAATTCTTTCTGGAATTGGAAAACTAAAATATTATAAAGTTGTTAGACACAGTGGTGGGCTGGATAGAATCATTTGGTGTGCCAGATATAACCTTTGGGCTGTATTTTGCCTGCCTCTGGTATAGATAAATGATGCCGGGTGGTCAGTTGACAAACAGCTGTAGGATGCTCATTATGGACACTCTGTAACAATAATTTACCCTATAATTGCTGCAAACTGCTTAAAATTGTCTTTGTATATTATGATTGTGTTTCATGAAATATTGATAGTTCTCTAAAAATATTAATATTTTTCATATTTTGAAATACTGTACATAGGTAGGTAGTCCCTTTGATTACTTCAGAGAGTTGTAACACTGCTTTGCTAGCCTGTTCCCACCCTGTGGGTTGGCATTATCTATGGCCTGGTTGTCATCTTGACCCAGGTCCAGGTTTATTTAGATTCATTCCAACTGGGTTGAACTCACTTGGTTTTATGAATGGATGAGCCAATCATCATTACAATCAAGTGCTCAGTTGAGAGGTCATAGTTCTAAATAATGCTAATGTTTATCAAATGAATCACTGTGTCATGTTCTCTCACTTGAGCCCGATAGCAGAGGAACAAAGTTAAGTTATCATTGCCCAGTGTTATAAGATTTGCATATCAAGAGGGAATTTAGGATCATTCCTACAATTTTTTTTCATAATTTCTGTATCTTTTTTCTTTCATTTTTTCTCCAGGGAGAATCATTTAACATATCATGTAAAGAATATCAATAATACAGTACTGTACAGTAATGGGGGGCTTCATTGAAGTTTAGGAAAATAATTTATTTTTGTTTTGTTTTTTCTTCTCAGGGTGACTCACTGGGTAGTGGAACTAATGCTTTGGCAGTTGATCAGGAAATAAGTTCTGAAGAAATGCAGTTTAATGAGATGCTAGACGATGTCACCAAGGATATTGACTTTGAGAAGATTGACAAAGAAAATGATATAAAGTCTAACATGGAAGAAGTGAGTCGAGATGGCGTGGAAGACAAAGACATTAATGAAGAAGCAACTGAACTTGAAGACACTTTTCCTGTTGAAACAAAGAAAGAAATATAAGAATTAGTTGAGAAGAAGCACTTGAATATCAAATGTTCTTAGGTGACTTACAGCCTTACAGCTGTCAGTACAGTACTGTGAAAGAGATTTACTTTTAATGAGTGCAGCATAATTTTGATTTATATAAAAAGGATTTGAGATTATTTTCCTGAAGTTATTCCCAAGAATTTTTTTAAGATCAGATTTTATTCTTTTACTGTTGAGCAATTTCTGGTTCAAGAAGGATATTGGCAGGAAGTGAAAGGGTATTGTGAAATATTTTTTTTTACTGTAAACATGGTATTCAACTGATGTAATTATCAATGAATATATTAACTAATTTTCTTCCTGATACTGGAGGGAGATAAACTACAATCACACTACCCCTTCCAATGCCTTTCCATCTGGCCTCACATACAGTAGCTCAAAATACATCATAACCACACCCAGTAACAAAAGAGTGTGTGTGGACTTGCCACTTCGTTTTGTTTTCCGTACAATCCTCAGGTAATCATCTTAGTGGTTCCTTTTGTCTACTTGCCTATCTGGTTTACAGTAGAACTCCAGTTATTCTCTGTGATTTGGGGTGTGAAAGTGTGTCAATTTTTTGTTTTATCCTTATTTCTCTTTAAGTAGCTAGTAAGAGTTTTCCTTCTCTGGGTATTTCAAATATTATTCAAAGGGGCCAAATTTTCAGGAATGTTGTAATGCATCTGTGTAATATGTAATGTTGGTTTTGTACATTGAAAAGACTTCATCTTGGGAAAGCTCTCTCACGAAATTTCTTTTATCTGATGCTTTTTGCTTCAAGGGTCAAACTGATACAATGTGTGTAGATGTGTGTGCATATATTTTTCAGCGAGAGCTGCATTATTATTTGAAAGATTGTTAGCAAGAGTAAAAGGGGAACTTTTTCTATACTGTACTCATAATGTGTGTGGTAGAGTTTTGAAGAGAAATATTGTGTTGTCAAAGAATAATACCAAAATTGTGCCTGGATTTTTTATTTATTTTTTTATTTTTTTCCTAATAAAATATATCCTGGATTTACAGGATATATACAGTGCTGTATATACTGTTTATATATGGTATAGTGAAAAACAACCTTGAAATTATATTCTGGATGCAAACTGTAGAGGTAAAAATACAACCATTCTTAAAAAAAAAAAAATACAATATTGTGCAATGAGATTTTATCTCAGGTTGTGCATTACAATGAAAACAAAAAGGGTACATTGCCAAGCATTTTATTTGAAATGACACTGGAATACAGAAATGAGACTTGGTAGCAGAGAAAAAAGTTTTATTGAGGTAATGGAATCTGGTTGATTTATAAAAGTTGGAATTATTATGTTATAGAGTATCTCCGTAAAATTTCTGAATGTTGTGTTACATTATTTTTTGAGAGGATATAGGTACACCCACCAGAAAAGTCCTGTCAGTCCTCTCCCATCCATGAACCTTGTGAATCACGTCTCTTTGAGTCCAAAACAACACACAATGCATCATGGATGGGAGAGAGATCCGACTCGCCATTTTATGGTGGGTGTACAGTCGGCCAAAGATCCAGCGACCCCACCCTGGGTCTGGAACTGGCAATACTTGGTAAAGTAAGGCTGTATGTGAAGGTGATTGTGACTGGTGGCTCTATTTTCGACTGGATAACTGTCAAGATAAATATTAAACAATCCAAAGGCAGAATTTTAATGATAAACTATTCATTGTTATTTAAGATCATGAGAAATTTCCAAATGTCCGTATATTTACTTAAAAAATGAAGAAAATTTGATCCGAGAATCTTATGGCAGCCCCCGTTGTAGTTGAGCTGCCAATTCATTAATATAATTTTTTCATTATTTAAGCAAATATATGAACATTTGGAAATTTCTCATCTTAAATAACAATGAATAGTTTATTATTATAAAAATTCTACCTTTGGATTGTTTAATATTTATCCTGACAGTAATACAGCCGAAAATAGATCCACCAATCACAGCCTTACTATACCAAGTATTGTCAGGTAAAATTGCCAGTACCAGACCCAGGGTGGGGTCACTGGATCTTTGGCCGACTGTACATAATCATGATATAATGCTCGTCCCAAAATCAATACCTACACTTTTTTTCTCACTTACAGTACTTATAATACATTTACAATTGGTTATGCTTACCAGCAACAAATTACAAAATTAACTATAATATTATAGTTTGAAGTACAGTACAGTATTTTGGATTGGATCACTATACTCATCAGGTCCGAAATGTTTAGATGAAGAAGAAACACGTATGAGTACAGTATTGTATTGTACTTAAGACTTTTCATACTACAGTATTTTCAATTAATGCCTGGTAAACTTAATGACGATTTTTTTTTATTTCGTGGTCCCCACAGGAAGGTAGAAGCAAGAAGAAAACCCCATAGAATGTTGCGAGTGAATGGAGTAAAACATAATGGAATTTTTATGAAAATAAGAGAATATGTGGGCTACTTTATTCCTGGATATATTTTAGAACCAGTTTGCACAAATAAGAAATTACCCTTAACATAATACTGTATGTAGCATATAGGTACTGTACTACTCTATTTTGTAGGGAGTGATTTGACATTAGACTCTGTTGTATGGTATTATAATAAATGTGCACAAATGTGTCCTTATTGTGTAAAATAATTTCCTCTTCCATATGATTGAAATATTGTACTTGATATTAAGAAGTTAGCAAAGAAAACCTAAGCTTACAAAAATAAAGAATATGTTAATGCAAAAGGTATTGTGTTATACTGTAATGTATTTTGGATTAAGTTTAGGCAAGCCAAATGTACTCCACACGCTTTAATAACCCAAATAATGTTTACCCTTTATCAGAGTTATTGCAGCTAAGAAAAGTTTCGATTATTATTGCTTTATTATGATTGTTGGTCAGTTTGTATTGGATCATTCAAAATTTTATAAGATTGGTTTGTATTTTAGACAGACTTGATATTTTCACAAGATTTCCAGAAAATAATTATTAATCCTATGGGCTCTTTTGCTTCATGTTTAGTGCAGACATACTTTTAAGGTGTGTTTTCTGAGAGAGAAAGTATGTATGTATGATGGAATGGAACAGTGAAGCAAATAGTTAAAAGATATTGGACTACTTTGTTGTATTGTGAATATGAAGAGGCAAAGGTGACAAGTTTTGTATTATGTATACTGTATTTGTTAAATCTCTATTACTAATTGTAAATTGAAGATGTACAGTAGCTAAAACAACTATCTGTGCAGGTGGGGGTCGATATGCTCCGAAATTTTATCGTCCGTGGTCTCATATTGTTTGCCACAAAGTATGCACAGATAGTTATTTTAGCTACTGTACATAATTATGTGTGCTATTTGTAAATTATTGAAAAGTTGTTTGAGCACCTAAGAGATTGTTTCACAACCACAGGAAATAACCATGTTTAATATATTGAGCTTATATGTCGCTGTCAAGCCCATACGTCATTCTTATAAGTTCCTATTTATGTAGATAATTTTATTTTGATCCTTTGGTAATGTGCTATGGATGTGTGTGGCTTTATCTTTTGCTTTTTCACTAGACAAGGAAGACACAAGTAAACAACAAGATGAGAGACTAGAATGACAGGTGAACAGATACTAGGAGTTGTACTGTAATTATACTGCATATTAATCATTCATGTTGTCTCTTGGCATCACCGGCATTTCTTTCCTTGTTCACTTAGAGAGGGGTGAATAGAATGTTAAGAGGAATTTAATTTTGTTCTGCAGAATACAGAATTTTTGAAAGGGAAAATGAATACCCTGTATATTAGTAATTTGAAACCAAATCAAAGGTAGCATATATGTAATGTTTTTGTTGTTTTTTCTTTGACATCTAAGGTTTTTAAATTGCACTATTACGTATCCCATCCTCTGAATGGTAGGCCTTACTTTCATTATTGTAATCATTGTTTACTTTGTTTTCAAGTAAATTTGTTTAACCCATTTATTGCATTGGCTGATTTGAGCATATCCGAGTTATTTTATTCATAAAACCTTCCAACTGTTCAGAAAGGACTTTTTCATTTCATCAATTTCACGGCTTTTCACTTTTCATGCAGTGACACACAAGAATTTTCTATAAACATGTTTGTTACCCAATATTACACATTCATTTAAGAGAAACTCAATACTAGTACTGTACTGTACTGTACAATACTCAAAATAATGATGATGTATTTTTGAAAATTGAATTAGCACATACAGTGGTCCCTTGGTTAACGAACACAATTCGTTCCACAAGGTCGTTCGTTAACCAAAACCATTGTTTCAATGGGATTTTGAGTAATTGGTTCCAGCTCACCAAAAGTTACATACAAACTAAAAATAAATGCAGTAAAGTACACTTACTTTGAGGTGTGCATGTAGAAGGCTCCTGATTGATGATGATGATAATGGGAATTAGAAGTGGGGGTGGAGGAGAAGGGAGAAGAGAAGACATTGGGGTGGAAGAGAAGTCACCCCATGCTTCATGCCACCATTTCACCCATAAAATTTTAAGTTCACTTGGTGTAATTCAAGATTATTTTCTTTAAATCAACACTGCACTGCATTATATATTGTCAATACAGTATATGAAATAAATTTCAGAATGACCAATAATTGTACTGTAAAAATAGTTTATGTTCAAGAGAGTCTCAAGCAAGATGCTTCCTCCACTGAGCAGGGACACACACTGACGCCATTTTGGGTGAGTCAAGTGGCTGTTTGGTGCGCTAAAAACTAGTTCCCTGTACTTCAATTATGTTAAATAATTGTTAAAATGACGAAAAATTTTATTATAAGACTTAGAAAATTTTGAATACAGTTGTACAACAGTCTTGATATTAACTCAGATGGTAACGAATTTAAGCCCTAGAACCGATTACTGTATTGGTGGACTAACACTCCAGCTGGTGAGCAGGCGAAAACATGTTGACACGATTTCGTTAACCGAATTTTTGTTCGTTAATTGAGTTGAAGAATCTGAAGGAAGGTAATTTGTTAACCGAGGGCTCACTGTATATGACACAAAAGAAGCAACAGAATTGATGTGCTCGAGAGCATATTGGGTACATAGAATCAAAGTAAATACACAAATAAGAGATGTAGAAATGAAGGATGTGTTAGGCAGAGAACAAATCAGAATCAACTCGGGTGGTTTGGATATTGACAGAATGAATAGTGAATGATTGAGATAAAGATTATTGTACTACAGTATAAGCCAGAAGTGGATGATAAGAGGGAGAGGAACACCAAAAAGGAGGTGGATGAATGAGGTAAAGGATACACTAGAAAGGAGAGGAATGGACACCCAGCCAGCTGTGTATATACAGATACTCCTCGACTTAAGACATCCAGGCATGCGACCGCCATAGTCGTATTAAATATTTTTCAAATTACTTATTTTCTAGTACCGAAACGTTTGCCCCGTACAACAGAGTGGGCTGGGCCGCCTTGTGGTGTACAGCATCCACGCCGTAGCCCGCTCAGTTGGTGTTTGGTCGTTGTTGTTAGTGATCGCGCAGTGTACTGACAAAATTTTTGTTTCTAATTCCCTTTAAAATGGCTGGCAAGCATAAAAGTGAGAGTTCTCGTGGTGCTGATAAGAAAAGGAGACAGTCAATTACTTTTGAGATGAAAATGAAAATAATAATGCAATATGAAAATGGAAAAATGGTTAACAACCATTTCACGCGACCTTGGCTTCTCTCACTCGATGATATCAACAATTTTGAAGGACAATGCAGAGGCATTTGCTACTATTAATAAGGGGATGCAAATGTTTGAAGAAATGGATCAAAATGTTGAGCGTTTTGCAAAAGTTGACAAACTGATCCAAGATGCACTTGCTTGCTACAGGGAGATTTACAATGAAAAGAAAAGACAAACTGTGCAGCCTAAATTGGACCTATATTTTAAGAAGTCCCCCACTGCTGTCTCCTCACGCCCCACCACTCCTGCCTCTTCACTCCCTAAAGATGATCCAATACCTTCAACAAGCAAGTATGTTAGCCTGTCTGAAGAAAGCAAACTTGATGACCCACCCAGCCCTGTCTCCTCCTCTGCTTCATCCAATTAATGTAGTCTCCATATTTAATTTAAAAATTATTGAGGCCCCGTGTGCATTCAGCTGACTACATAAGGTAAGTGCACACTAACACTTTATTAATTTTTCATTATTGATTACTTTTACTGTACTGTATTTCATTTTAGAATTTCTATGTATTATTTTCGCATTTTCAACTTATGACGTGGTCATCGGGAACCCAGATTTACCTGGACCAAGTCGCCCCAAGTCCAAGAAGATACGACGCTCCCTTAGTTACAAAGTAAAGTACAAAATCGTCCAAGACTTAGAAAAGGGAACCCGACAAGTTGATCTTGTGCGTCAGCATGGAGTTAACGAATCTATGATTCGCACAATCAAGAAGGATGCCGCCAAGATAAAAGAACACATGAGCATCACAAAGTCTGCAGGTGCTTCAATGGTGAAGTATTGTCAGAATTAGGTGCTGCTCAAGACTGAGAATTTACTAGTGAGCTACTTGATTCGTCAGGCAAGACGTAACATGGCGGTCGACATGCAGGCAGTGCAGGACTACGCCCGTGAACTCTACAAATCAGTAGCGTGCAAGATGGGAATTGGAGAGCCCAAACCCTTCACTGCTTCCTCTGGTGTCGCTGCAAGGTTTTAAGAAACGGAACGAGATAACCAACATTAACATTGTTGGTGAAGGAGCCAGTGCTGACCATGCTGCCGCCATGGATTTTCCTCCATTCTTACGTGACATTATGGAGGAAGGACAGTACACCGACGACCAGGTGTTCAACATGGATGAATCCGGTCTATTTTGGAAAAAATTACCTTCCAAGACCTTCGTTTATCAAGTTTGCCAGCAAGTGTCGGGGCCGGAAGTTGCAGAAGAAGCCCATCACCGTCCTGTTTGCCACCAATGCCTCCGGCACCTGTAAGCTCAAGTTGTCGGTGATCCACACAGCCCGCAAGCCGCATGCCTACAAGAACATGGACATGACCAAGCTAAATGTCCACTGGCTAACCGCACGTAAGGCGTGGATGTTCACTGGTCTGTCCCTCTCTTGGTTTGACGACTGTTTCGTTCCCGACGTTAAGAAATTCTGCGAGCAACATAATGTTCCATTTCACATTTTGTTGCTCCTTGACAACGCACTGTGGGGTACGGGTTGTTTGGGTTCACACTCAGGATGGGATGGACAAAGGAAACTCACAATGTGCTCTCTGTATACATGTTGTATTGGATGTACAATGCAGCTTGGTTCTGGGAAGTGGCAGCGTGGTTACAAGCGTCATGTAGAGAGAGCTGGTTAGTGAGGGTGAGAGCGAGGGCCGCCAGGCAGCGGCGGAGGAGGAGGAGGTGTTGCTCGCCGGTTGGTGTAGGTAGAAAAGAGAGAGGTCACCACGAGGTCAGGTCTTTTATAGTGGCGATAGGCGTGGGTAGATAGTTGACCCCCGCTCCGTGGGCGGCGCTGGTTGACCTAAACCACAAGGCATACACTGGAGAATTCGCGGGGTCGGCTACTCAGCGACAAACAGCGTTTGTAGGGAGAAATCCAATACAATACTCCCTCCTTCCCTCCAGGCAGTGTAGGAGACTTGTTATCTGCAGGGTTGCATGGCACATGTGAGGCAGAACGGGCGGTGCATGCCACATGTGAGGCAGAACGGGCGGTGCATGCCACATGTGAGCCATAACGGCGATGGCGTGGATTAGCCGGCCGCTAGAGACAACTGTCTAGATACACAATATCTGTGGGAGTAGAGAGGGAGAAAAAGGGTGTGTGGAGGCGATGAATGTTGTGCTTCCCTCACGGCAGGTACAGAGTCGTCAGATGCGCCTGCTGGGGTGTGTGGGCCTGGGTCAGCAGAAGCGAATGAGGGCTCGTGACAGCAGCTGGGTCCACGACAGCAGCAGGGTGCAGGACATTAGCAGGAAGTACCTGAGGGAGAAAAGAGGGGTGGGTGGGTCTGCACTCAGGCGCATGGGCCACGTCGGCAGCAGGGGCTGCATCAGGAGGAGCGGCAGGGGGTACTGCTGGGCCGGGGGCGGCGTCTGAGGCAGGACGGGTGTGCTGGGGTCAGTAGAACGTGGTGCTTGGGGCAGGAAGAGGAGCTGGTGTCTGCTTAGAGAAGCAGTGTTGCTCTAGGGTGTCTAACCTGTGGTGTAGAGACAGTAGCTGTAGAGCCAATGAGAGCTGCCTCTGCGTGGATAAGCCAGTCTTCCATGTTGCTTGAAGACTGGGAGAGTGATCGGTTTCTCCTCCATCCTGTGTGAAAGCGAATCTCCGGGGGTCACCATTTGTGGGGTATGGGATGTTTGGGTCCACACTCAGGATGGGATGGAGAAAGGAAACTCACAATGTGCTCTCTGTATACATGTTGTATTGAATGTACAATGCAGCTTGGTGCTGGGAAGTGGCAGCGTGGTTACAAGCGTGATGTAGAGAGAGCTGGTTGGTGAGGATGCCCACAGAGGTCCTTCTGCAGCTCTTCACAGTCAGCTTGGTTCTTAATTTCCCGAAATAACTTAGCGTCATCGGCAATGGAGGAGTGTACAACGTCAGGCAACTCATTTATGAAACAAACAAACAACAGTGGGCCCAATACACTGCCCTGTGGTATCCCATTTGTGACAGGTACGGATGACGATTTCGTGCCATTAATCACCACACACTGCTTGCGGTCATGTAGAAAGTCTTCTATCCATGCTAGGACATTTCCCCGAATTCCGTACCCTTCCAGTTTGATTTTCTGCCTTTCATGGGGTACACTGTCGAAAGCCTTGGCAAAATCTAGGTAAATATTGTCGATATTACCATCCCGTTCCAGAATATGGGTCCAAATATCCAATACCTTGAGCAGGAGCGCCCCGGCATAAAACCGTGTTGGCAATCCTTTACAAGATTGTTTCGTACTAGATGTTTAATTGCGGCATCTCTGATAATACTCTCAAGTACCTTACATATTATGCTGGTCAGGCTCACCGGTCTATAGTTGTTCGTGGAGTGCCGATCGCCCTTCTTGAAGATAGGACTCACATAAGCCACTTTCCATTCACAAGGATTGAGGCTCGATAGTTTGTATTTTGTTTTGTGATTTTGGGAACAACCATTTTCAGTAATATTTGAAAATCTGAAGCTGTTGTTCTTAAAAAGTTTCTAAACCCAGCTGCATCTTCTAGTTTCAGGTCCGTCATTAGTTTTTTCTCCATAAGTTATTCCTTCATCCACCATCGTCTAGGTCTTTTCCTTGCTCTCCGCAGCGCCCACTTTTGCATCCACCGACATGACGACGTCGACTGCTCTTCCCACTAATTCATCGCTCTACCTTGGTCAGGCCGTGCAACAATGTTTCTGGACTCTCGTGACTGTCGCGAAACAATCGTGAGACAGTCCAGCAACAATGTTTACCGATTGTTTCTGGGCTGTTTTGCAACTTTTTTTACTTACTTTTACTTTTATCCTCTTCACCATTGATCGGCTCGTTAGCCGCTTGGCCGATCGGTCACGTCTCTGTCACGCACTGTTGGCAAGTACTGGCATGCACCAGCTCCTGAATGTACCTGAACCTGCTCCAGTGTTGGTCAAGTCTTGTCTTGAAAGAGCTCACACTCGGTGCCGTCACAACACTCTCTGGTAGATTGTTCCAAGAGTTTACAACTCTAACTCCGAAAAAGTTTGCCCTCACAGTTTTCTGGACTTGCAGCTTCTTCAATCTTGAGCTTTGACCCCGCTAGATAGTCCAGAAACAATGTTGCCGTGGTTCCCGAGGGTTTCTGGACTGTCTCGCGACTGTTTCTAGACAATGTATCTTGGTGTGTACGAGGCTTGAACTTTACTAGTGTGGATTCTTAGCAAAATTGGTACAATAAAAAAGAAAATTGCAACAAATATATGTTTGCGACTATAGTGCGAGAACACGGCCGAAGGGACATCAACCAGCTACTAGTAATCTGATAAGTGGTGAAATTATTAGTAAAAAAAAAATCTCACTGGCTAGACTAGAGTGGAGATGATAAAGCACTGTGGTCAGGGGCTGCGCGCTTCTCAATATGAGACCCGGGTTCGATACCCGATTTTGTCTGATGTGAGAAGGGTGTTGTCCAATGTAACCTTACCGAATATCGCAGTTATCTCCTGTACTGACCCATGTAAAATGGTAAGTCATCAGCCAAAAGGTTTTCCAATGTAAATAAATCAATCTGCACACAAGAGGTCAGTTTTGTTTGTGATCTGTTACCCTACTGGGCAGAGTAGTATTTGTATACTTAAACAGTAATTGTATTTTATATCCGTACTGTGGCTAACAGTAATAATATTAAACAAAATATTTCCTGCCATTATGGATGCGTTTAACAAAGCCATCAATCATTCAAAGCTCAAAGTTTCGTTTGTTTACTTGCGAGGATACTGAACGGCTTGGCAACTGTGCAGGAAACTCCCATCTTGTTAATATAAGTGGATGTAGTCATTATTATTGGGTAATAATAATTTCATCGCCAATTTTTCCTAGAAATCAAAATGTAATTCATACTACAGGCGGGCAAGGGATGACCTAATAGATGTGTATAAGCATCTCACGGGGCACTACTCATCGAGTGTCCTTACTTGGAGCTGGCGGACGCTCGCCCCACAAGGGGTCACAGCTCAAGATTGAAGAAGCCCCAAGTCCAGAAAACTGTGAGGGCAAACTTTTTCTGAGTTAGAGTTGTGAACTCTTGGAACAATCTACCAGAGAGTGTTGTGACGGCACCGAGTGTGAGCTCTTTCAAGACCAGACTTGTCCAACACTGGAGCAGGTTCAGGTACATTCAGGAGCCGGTGCATGCCAGTACTTGTCAACAGTGCGTAACAGAGACGTGACCGATCGCCCGGGCGGCTAACGAGCCGATCAATGGTGAAGAGGATAAAAGTAAAAGTAAATACAAACAAATTATACGAAATAAATCATGAATTTTCTTCAACCAAGTCATGGCGTTTCCAATTTTGCTTGTTCAGTTTTTAATTTTAAATAATATAATATATACAAGGTTTTCTTATTACTGTGCCAATCAACGATATTTAAATTTTTCTCGTTAGATATGTCTAACAAACCTAGTTCAGGTCCACCAATCAGAGCTCAGTACAGCTGAACGCACCCACCTCCAGAAATGACAACAAAAGCCGAATTCTGCTTCATGCTCATGATAACCTAACGTCACCTTATTCCTCTTCTGTTGACAATGAAGCTGGTAGATCACGTCGTTAGGTCGTTCAGGGTGGCAAAGCTTTTCCGCGACAACACAGAGCGCATAAATAACATTGACTTCTCGCCCAGTGGAGATCTGTTGTTAACATCTAGTGACGATGACCAGATCGTGATATATGATTGTGAGAAGGGCACGTAAGTATGGGAGGCACAAACCCCCTTTGTCTAGTTGTTGTTCTCAAGTTATGGAAGATACAGCGGATTTCACCTCTATTCTGTAGGTTAGTTTGAACGTACGTAAAGGTGTGATGGGGTGCCACCTTATTGCTGGTGCTATAACTTTGCTCCTCTCTGATCTATCAGAGAGTGGGTCTCTCTCTCTCTCTCTCTCTGCAGCTTTTTAAAACCCTAATCTAAGTCAAAAAAACAATCGGTAGAGATGAACCACTGAACTACATTAATTTACATATAGGAATAGAGAAAAAAAGAATGGTAAATATTTACGACTTCACAGCCGCCGGTTTTTCATATTAAGCAAATTTAAAAATACTGCAATATCACTGCATGTTTTATACAGGACACTGTCATAGTTATGGCAAATGTGTTAGAAAGTGGGGTATAACTGCAGTTTTGGACAAAATGGATCTCGAGTTGAGCAATGTTTTTTTCCGATGGTTTAGACAATTTTAAGACACTTCGATGACGATTACCCCGGAAATTACCTAAATATACCAGGGGGGACAAAGCCCCTGGTTAGGAGTTTAGGTTAGGTAATTTTAGGCCATTTGTGACAGATGCTTCATAGAAAAAAAGTGTCTTAAAATTGTCTAAACCTTCGGAAAAACACATTGCTCAACTATTAGGGCATATTGTCTGAAACTGAAGTTTTACTAGATATGGTTATTTCTAAATTAAACCTAAGTTGATAAGAAAAACAAGTGGCAGATGCATTGTTAGAAGACCTCACTAACCTAACTAAGAAACCAACCTAACCTTACCTAACTTACTAGCTGTGAAGTTCAACTCTCTGAACCTCCAGCATATTGAACAGAAAGAACTTACTTTTATATGGTGTTATTTTAATTTTTTTTTGTGGATGTGAGAGCGGCGACCCAATCCGTATGGCTTATAAACATACACTGGCGACTGGTGTCGAACACTGGCGACTGGTGTCGACCGGAGATGATTGACTGTGTATTGCTGCATCATGCCAAGAAAGACAAAGTATCGTGCACCAGACAAACTAGTATATACATGGTAGGTTAATTATCTACCAACTGAAGCAATTTCCATAAAAATGATTATTATATCAGAATTCACCGATGAAAATATAGTAAGAATATCAACATCAAAACAAATAACGTGTTGTCTGTGAAGTCCTTCATATTAGCCAAAGATTTACTTTATAGTATTTTTATTGCAAATTTATATTTGTTCATTATTTACATTTTTAATTTTTACCTGAGAAATTAAAATTTTGAAAGCGCAAAGTGATAAAGGGCTTTGAAGTAGAGGTAAATTGTGGGTTAAAATATGCAAACAACTAACCAAACCTTGTCAAACTTGACCTAATCTAACCAAACATAACCTAACCTAACCAAACTTAACCTAACCGAACCAAACCTAACCGAACTTAACCTAACCTAACCAAACTTAACCTAACCTAACCAAACTTAACGTAACATAACCAGACTTTACCTAACCTAACCAGACTTTACCTAACCTAACCAAATTTAACCTAACCTAACTTTACCTATCCTGACTAAACTTAACCTAATCTAACCTAAATTTGCCTAACCTAACTTAACCTTACTGCACCGCTCTTTGGACACGTTATGGAAGTTTACACAACACCATAGGCCTTGAAAATGTCAATTGCAGTGGTGTTATTTACAAAAAACACATTAGTTACTTTACTTTTTACTTTTATCCTCTTCACCACTGATCGGCTCGTTAGCCGCTTGGGCGATTGGTCATAGGCGATCGGTCATGTCTCTGTTACGCACTTTTGGCAAGTACTGGGCATGCACCGGCTCCTGTGTTGGTCAAGCCTTGTCTTGAAAGAGCTTACACTCGGTGCCGTCACAACACTTTCTGGTAGATTGTTCCAAGAGTTCACAACTTTCACTCCGAAAAGTTTGCCCTCACAGTTTTCTGGACCTGCGGCTTCTTCAATCTTGAGCTGTGACCCCTTGTGGGGCGAGCGTCTGCCAGCTCCAAGTATGGACACTCGACTGAGTAGTGCCCCTTGAGATGCTTATACACCTCAATTAGGTCGCCCCTTTCCCATCTGTAGTATAAGCTAGGCAAGTTCAGGCACTCCAATCTCTCAGGGTAGTTGAGGTGCCGAAGTGCAGGCACCAGTCTGGTGGCCCTCCTTTGAACATTTTCAACCAACTGACAGTCCCTAGCATATCTTGGGGACCAGACGGGGTGACAGTACTCCAGATGGGGAAGGACTTCACTCTTGAAGATCGTTACAAGGGACTGACCGTCTAGATATCTGAACGACCTTCTTATAAGACCTAATAATTTATTTGCCTGATTTGCCTTCTCGCAATGGCCCAAGAACTTCAGCTCATTGTCAACATACACACCTAGGTCCTTCTCGCATTGTCTCAAATAGTGCAGTTTCTTCATCCTCTTGGGACATATGATATGCCTCCTTACCATTGGTACGCCCCAGGTGCATCCTCTTACACTTCGTGACATTGAATCTCAGCAGCCATTTCTTCGACCATTCTCGGAGCTCACAGAGATCCAAGTTATTTCCCGAAATAACTTTGCGTCATCCGCAAACATTTGTTTGAATGTTTGCAATTCTGAAAAAGAGTATCCTTCACATGGAGAAACTGTCTTACTACTGATAGATTCCAACTCAAAAGTGTGAGCATGCTCTTAAGTGAAATAAAAAGAATAGCTAAGTATATAAATTTGCAACAAAAATGCTAGAGTAAAGTATTCTTACAGTATTTTTTTATCTATCTCCCTTTATGCAAATCAATACATACAGAGTTTGGTGGTTGTCTTCTACTGGGTCTTTACTGTATTTTCTTCTCCAGTTTTGTATACCCGGTAAGGAATCTTGGGAAAATAAGTTTGAGTAATTCAGGTACCCTGAGATTTGACTAGATATGTATTAAAATCAATTTCTTCCTAATGTCAAGAACACTGCAAATTTGTTGCAGGAATTATTGTTTCTCTATTTATATTTTCCTGATTTTTTCGTCCTGACGACTAATCTTCCTCCACTTGCATTGTCCTGCCGACAACATTTTTCTTGTTTACATACAACCGTTCCCAGTGAATGCTACATTTCATGAACCAACTTAACTTACCTATCCTAACCTAAATAAAGTTCAGTACAGGGTGTCTCATTTCATTTCATGAAAATATCAACCCGAGAGCCAAAACTGAAAATCTACCGTAAGTAATAAATTATATGTTTTGAAAGCTAAAGCATTGATGTTTGAGAATCTGAAAAGATAAGTCTTTAACACAGCCACAAAAACAGCTTCAGTTTAATCATTATTGTCACAACATGTAGCAGAAGAATCAAAACTACTTAAAATGGGACATTTACCATCATCATTTGCAAAAATATCTATAGGTCTAAGCTTTTTTAGAATGGTATAGAATGACAAGGATCCCATTAGGTTGTGCATCATGCATTTACAGGAGTGTAAGATTGTGAAATGGAGTACCATCATACGATATGTTTTCCCATGTGTTGAGGTGGGAGCTTGTCTGTGGCAGCGCCTGGTTGTCAGTCACCAGCTGACGCTGTAAGAATAAAGTCTACAAAGAACGTGGTCTATCATTCAAACCTCTCACAAGGAGCAATGTTGATTGTTGTACAAGTGGAAAAAATTTACAGCCACAGAGAAATGTTATATTTTGTTGGCAATAAGTAGAAGTTTTTGTTTGACTATAATATGTACTGTACTGTATAGTGAGTAAATGGACAAAAAATGTGACCTCCATTATATATATTACTGCACTGTTCAGTATAACAGTCTTTAATCATGTTGTGTACTACTTTGTCTAAAAAAAAAGTGCATTACAGTAATAGGTTTTAATTAGTATACATTTCCTGTCTTACAGATCTAAGCGAACTTTAAACAGCAAGAAATATGGAGTTGATCTCATTCATTTCACACATGCCAAAAATTCTGCAATCTACAGTTCAACAAAAATCGATGGTATGTAGACTGGCAGTAAATTATATTTTTGTGATTATAAGCTACCTGTATCTTTTTATGACTGAATTATGCCTTCCCATTTCAACCAAGTTCCTGAAGAAGGAACTTTAAAAATATTAGTGACCACTCAAGGTTAAAGCCATTTAGTTATACTGTAATGTATCTTCAAATTATCCTTTTTACACCAGGACAGAAGTGGTCAATCTTAGGTCACAAGCACTATGAGTCTACCCATCCACATGCCTGACGCATGTCCCTGCATCAGAAATTTAATGCAATCTCTTGGAATGCTAATATATATACAGGGTGTCTATAAAGTCTGTGTGCAGTTTAAAATGTTACTAACTTCAGTTCTATAGGAGACAAAAACAATCTGTAAAATGTAATAGAGAGGAAATTTATTCAAGATTTAACAACTGTAATCTTAGGATTTTAATTTTCAACATATCCACCATCATTACGGATACAAAGCTTAATACGATTTTGAAGTTCCATGAACACGTTCCGTAATTGTGTTTCCGCTATGGCACCGATCACATCAGTTATCTTTGCACAAAGATCGCCTAAAGAGCGAGGTTTTGATGAGTAAACTAATGTTTTGACATGTCCCCATAGGAAGAAGTCCAGTGGAGACAAATCTGGCGAGCGAGTTGGCCAAGCGGTTGATTTACCTCTTCCGATCCATCGGTCCGGGAAAACCTCATTTAAAAATATAAATAAGAAATTTGAATAAATAAATTTCTTTGTTCGTGTTAAACTTGAATAAATTTCCTCTCTATCACATTTTACAGATTGTTTTTGTCTCCTATAGAACTGAAGTTAGTAACATTTTAAACTGCACATCGACTATATTATATATATATATACAGTGACCCCTCCGTTAACGAACTCAATCTGTTCCAGAAGGTCGTTCGTTAACCGAAAAGTTCGTTAACCGAAACCATTGTTTCAATGGGTTTTTGGGTAATTGGTTCCAGCTCACCGAAAATTTCCTAAATTCAACAAAAATGGTAGAAAAGTTCACTTACTTTGAGGTGTGTATGTAGAAGACTCCTGGATGATGATGATGATGATGATGGGATTTAGAATGGGGGTGGAGGAGAAGGAAGAAGAGAAGGCATTGGGGTCACCCCATGGCGCCATTTCACCCATAAAATTTTAGCTCTCTGGTGTAATTCAAGATTATTTTCTTTAAATCAACACTGCACTGCATTATATATTGTCAATATATAAAATATATTTCAAAATGACCAATAATTTGCTTGGAAACACAGAAAAAAAGCGTTTAGTTGAATAGAGTCTCAAGCAAGATGTTACCTACAGTGAAAACAGAGAAAGACTAATGCCTGTTTGCTGTGTTAAGAGGCTGGATGCCGCGCATTAAACTAGTCACTTTACCTTCAATTATGTTCAATAATTGTTAAAATGACTAAAAAATTTAATATTAAACTTTTAAAATTATTGAATAGTATAAACTTCTTGATATTTACTAAAATAGTAAGGAATTTAAGCCCTAGAACCGATTAATGTATTGGGACTGATACTAAAGCTGGTTGCAGTCAATGCAAGCGAAAACATGTTGAGGTCGGTTCGTAAGAACCCGTTAACGAATTTTTTACGTTAACTAATTGAAGATCCTTATGGAAGGCAGTTCGTTAATGAAATTACGTTAACGAGGTGTTCGTTAAACGAGGGGTCACTGTGTGTGTGTGTGTGTGTGTGTGTGTGTATATATATATATATATATATATATATATATATATATATATATATATATATATATATATATATATATATATATATATATATATATATATATATATATATATATATATATATATATATATATATATATATATATATATATATATATATATATATATACACACATATATATATATACATATATATATACATATATATATATACATATATATATACATATATATACCGGTACTTACGACCTGCTCTGACCTTACGACCGTCTGGACATACGACTGCGGCAGCCGTGACCAAATATATTTTCTAAACCGAAATGTTTCTGTCCCGGGCGAGAGGGTGGCGCGTCTCGGGTCGCCGCGTGGGTACACTCACTCAGTGGAGCGCTTAGTTGGTGTTTGGCTATCGTATCCTATACTGATCGCGCTGTGAACTTTCATTATTATCGTATTTAATTGACTTTATAATGACTGGAAAGCGTAAAAGTGAGAGTGCTGGTGGTGCTCCAAAGAAAAGGAGACAGGCAATTACTTTTGAGTTGAAAATGAAGATAATAACACAGCATGAGAATGGAAAAACTGTAGCAACAATCACACGTGACCTAGGCTTCTCACGCTCGACCATATCCACTATTCTGAAGGGCAAGGAACGTGATGTAGTGAAAGGAACAACACCTATAAAGGGAACTATAATTTCAAAGAAAAGACAAGGTCCTATTCACGATATCAAAAATTATTGGTGATATGGATAGAAGACCAGATACAGAAGCGTGTACCCTTAGGTCTTCTAACCATACAGGCTAAAGCAAGAAGCCTGTTCCAAAGCCTGAAGGAGCAGGTAGGAGATGAATGTGATCAAACCTTTACAGGAAGTCATGGGTGGTTTGATAGATTTAAAAAATGCTACAGTCTACACAATGTTAAGGTGAGTGGAGAGGCAGCTAGTGCTGATGTTGGTGCTGCCGAAGCTTTTAAGGAGGAGTTAGATGAAGTGATTGTGGAAGGGAATTATTTGCCTGAACAAATATTCAATGTGGATGAGACTGGATTATTGTGGAAGCGCATGCCTGAGCTTACATGCATCCACAAAGAGGTGAAAACAATGCCAGGATTCAAGGCATTCAAGGACAGAATTACACTTCTGTTGGGGGGAATGTTGCTGGTCTCCAGCTAAAGCCCTTCTTGATCTATCATTCAGAGAACCCCAGGGCTTTTAAACATGTTAGCAAGCACACACTGCCGGTGTTTTATTGCAGTAATAAGAAAGCCTGGATGACCTTAGTACTGTTTGAGGATTGGTTCATGACTTGTTTCATTCCACGAGCCAAGGAGTATTGTCTGCAACAACGGATTCCATTCAAGAGTTTGCTGATTTTGGATAATGCTCCGGGACACCCACCACACCTGGACGACATGCACCCTGATGTTAAGGTAGTGTACATTCCACCTAACACTACCTCTGTCATCCAACCCATGGATCAAGGTGCTATTGCTGCCTTTAAAGCGTATTATTTACGCACGACCTTCGCTCAGGCTGTTGCTGCTACTGAAGGTGAGAAAACGCTCAGAGAGTTTTGGAAGGAGTACAACGCTTTGTCATGTATAAAGAACATTAGTGCAGCATGGGATCAGGTTACAAAACATTGCTTGAATGGAATGTGGAAGAAAATCCTGAAAAGATATGTGAACAGTTTCAAAGGATTTAATGAAAATGAAGTTATTTCGGATATTAGTAACAAGATAGTGGAGTTAGGTAAACAGCAGGAGTTAGAAATTGATAATGAAGATGTTGAACAGTTGGTTGAAAGTGTAGCAGAAGAGCTCAGTAACGAGGATCTTATTGAACTAGATGCACAGAAAATTGCAGAGGAAGAAGAGAGACAAAATGTAGAAGAAGAACCTGCACCCCCGAAAAAGTTTTCAGTGAAACAAATGGCAGAGGCATTTGCTACAATTAATAAAGGAATGCAAATGTTTGATGGCATGGATCAAAATTATGAGCATTATGCCAAAGTTGACAGAATGATCCAAGATGCACTTGCTTGCTACAGAGAAATTTATAATGAAAATATAAAACAAACTGCAGTCTACATTGGACATCTATTTCAAGAAGTCCCCCAGTGTTGTCTCCTCACGCCCCACCAGTGCTGCCTTTTCACTCCCTCTAGCCTTGGTCATAATATATGGTACAGTATAGGTTCAGTTTTTCAAATTTATTTTTCACTTCAGTATTTAATGAGTTATTTGAAACTGACAGTTATTAATACTGTATTAATTTGTGCAGCATTTGTTAATGTTTCTTTGCAGATACCATCAGATACCTATCTCTACACGACAACAAATATATCAGATACTTTCCAGGCCACACAAAGAAGTAAGTCTCTTTTAAACGTTTATTTTAAATTCCACATTCTATGTGGCAGTACAGTATTTCAGAGAGTACTGTACTGTACTGTACAGTCATTTTCATAAGTTATTAAACTGTTCAAAAGAGAAACAAAAGTGTTTTGATTCATTTGTAATTTTTTTTTTTTACTCTTTCACTGCAAGTGTAATACAGTACTACAGTATTGAGAAATGTTCTTTACGTTTGTGATATGAATACAGGTACTTTATACACATTTTGTATAGATAATAAGATAAAAAAGATAAGTGAATGGTTGAGACGTGCTCAATACAGTAGACCTCATGCTAGGTAAACAAGTAATATAACTTATCAATACAAATTCACTCAGCATGATGAACGTGAGTATTTCTTATTGTAATGTGAAGGTACAGTACAGTACTGTAATTTGCCTTTATCAGGATTAGGCCAGTTTATGTGAAGGAAGAGAAGAAATTGTATTTTAAATCTATTTGACCATGAAATTTTTTAAGTACGTATTTCACAAATTATATTTATCGCTAATCCATAGTACTTTCCACAGTACAATTCTGTAATGCAGATAGCTCTCTGTAGAGTAATGTACTAGGCTGGATCTTTCAAGGTGTTCTGTTTTGCATTCTCGCAGGTGATCCTGAGCATAAAATGGGATTTCATATGACATTAAATTTTTTTTACTTCCAGAGTGATAACTTTAAGTATGAGCCCCATTGATGACACTTTCATCTCTGGTTCTCTGGACAAATCGTTGAGACTGTGGGACTTGCGTTCTCCAAACTGTCAGGGAATGATGCATGTTGGTGGTCGTCCAGTTGCTGCCTTTGATCCTGAAGGTCTCATTTTTGCTGCAGGAATCAATTCTGAAATGATCAAGTTGTATGATTTAAGGTAAGGTGTATTAGTGAATGATCATATTGTATGATTTAAGGTAAGGTGTATTAGTGAATGATCAAGTTGTATGATTTAAGGTAAGGTGTATTAGTGAATGATCATATTGTATGATTTAAGGTAAGGTGTATTAGTGAATGATCATATTGTATGATTTAAGGTAAGGTGTATTAGTGAATGATCAAGTTGTATGATTTAAGGTAAAGTGTATTAGTGAATGATCAAGTTGTATGATTTAAGGTAAGGTGTATTAGTGAATGATCAAGTTGTATGATTTAAGGTAAGGTGTATTAGTGAATGATCAAGTTGTATGATTTAAGGTAAAGTGTATTAGTGAATGATCAAGTTGTATGATTTAAGGTAAGGTGTATTAGTGAATGATCAAGTTGTATGATTTAAAGTAAAGTGTATTAGTGAATGATCAAGTTGTATGATTTAAGGTAAGGTGTATTAGTGAATGATCAAGTTGTATGATTTAAGGTAAGGTGTATTAGTGAATGATCAAGTTGTATGATTTAAGGTAAGGTGTATTAGTATCTCATAATCGTAGACTTGTTAGCCTCAGTCCACCCACAGGAATGATTCTGTAGAAAAAAAGCAAAAATAATTCATGTTCTTTTGGTGATGATTATTGTACTGTGCTCTTCAGCATTCAACAAATCTATCTCACTCATCAGCTACATTGTAAACTGAATTATTTTAACTGGACTAACTTATTCATTATATAGTAGCAAGAGTTATTTAACATCTACTTTTCAGGAAAACTTTTTATTTGCAGTAGATTATGACTTTATTTTTTGCCATGAACACTTTGTTTGCTGTTCCATTAGAAGATACATGTACAGTACAGTAAACATGTACAGTACAGACACAGAAAACCGGAGATTCTCGAAAACTGGACATATTCCAGTACAGTACAGGTTGTACCTCTCTAGTCCTGCAACCTCGGGACCTGATCGGTGCCTGACCATGGAAATTCACCCTTTTCCTGGATAGATAGTGACTTGTGCTTATGCTTGGAAGCACTAGCACCACTTTCTCTGCATCATGGTCTCTTTGAAGACATATTGAAAGGTTAAATGTCGTATAGTAGCTTCTCAAATTTTGCGAGTTTTTAATTCTTAATGTATTTTATTGGAACACACAAAAAATAAATAAATACAAATTTTGACTGCAGAAACTTGTATTTCGACGGGTTTGAACGGCTCGCCAACGTGCAGACGACGTGCATAATCGTGTAAACAGCGTCATTTCTCTTAAGTACAAAAGATTCATTATTGTTTATTACTGAATGTCTTTTTTATTGAATTATTGTTTTTGTGTGCAAAATGAGCAATACAATTCATTAATAATACGTAGAATATTAAAACACACGAGGAAATGACAATGCATTGTTTTCGTTGATTACAAAACCAGTGACTGACTGGTTCTACATATAAAACTGAAGAAAATAAAACCTTGGCTGTAGCTGTAGTAAAATTAATATGGTTGTTTTAAGTAATGTTATTTAATGTTAATAAATGGAACAATAGAAGTAGCTAACGATAATGGTAAAGAAAAAAGAGAGATCGCGTATGTAAGTGCGCATGCGCACACGTGAAAACATATCGTCATTACTTTACATAAGAATATGAAAGCAACACTTATTTACTGTTCATATATATTTTAATTAATGTTTCTGAATTTGTTTTTATTGAATTAATGTTTGTGTGTGCAAAATTAACAATACAATTTATTAATAATACGTGGAATATTAGAGGAGACGAGACGGCTGCCGGCATTGTTTATGTTAAAGCTTACAAAACCAGTGACTGATTGGTTCTACATATAAAACTGAAGAAAATAAGACCCTGATTTTAGCTGTAGTAAAATTAATGTAAAAATATTAATATGGTTGTTTGAAGTACCTGTAATGTTATTTAATGTTAATAATGGAACAATATAAGTAGCTAACCATTAATGGTAAAAAAAAAGTGAGACTGCGCGTATGTAAGTGCGCACATGTGAAAACATATCGTCATTACTCTACATAAGAATATGAAAGCAACACTTATTTACTGCTCATATATATTGAAGGGTTAAATGTTGTACTCTGTATAGACAAGCAGAGAGAGAGAGAGAGAGAGCAGCCGAACTGCCGGATGTAAACAAACCTTAATTTCCCGCGGCTTTGTTGTTTTTTTTAAGGGGATTAGCCCACCCGGGCATAGGTCACTGACCCACATTGGGGCCTGAGGAGCAAAAATTTAATACTCCTGTAATAATAATAATAATTCAGATAAGTAAAAAAAAAAAAAAAAAAAAAGCTGCCTATCTACCTATTGGACAAACTAAAATCGTTCCGGACCACAGAATGCCGGACTAGAGAGGTACAACCTGTACTATACACCACTGTTATGGGCACAGAGAAGAAGTTTGGTAGTTGTGTTCTCTGATGGATCATTCGCATCCTATGTGGGATTTCATCATTCAGTTTTCCATTTTTCATATACTATTGGCTAAAAATCTTCCTGTTGAAAGTGAAATTCTATTATCAGGAGACTAAGCATTTTATACCTGCACATTTTGATTACATTGAAGCACCTGTTAATTTTTGCCAATCATCCTCATAATATGTTTTGCATTGCCATGATTTACAGTAGTATTTGCCTCCAAGGTCCTGATAATAAGTTTGGTGTTGCAGGTCTTTTGACAAGGGTCCATTCAGCACTTTCCAGCTATCCATGGAAAAGGAGTGCGACTGGACGGGTATCAAGTTCAGTCCTGATGGCAAGACAATTCTTACATCAACTAATGGTTCAGTCATCAGATTAGTTGATGCTTTTCAAGGGACACCTCTCAAAACATTTGCTGTAAGTATTTGTAGTGATGAAAGCTTGAAATTAGTTTGTTGAATTATTTATCCTCTCTTGCTAAAGTGCTTTTTTGCTGTGTCAATGCCAGAAATATTGCTGGAACATTGAATGTTACCCAGAGATGGAGTTAAAATTTCTCCTTTTCTTGGACTCGTATTTTGGGGCTCAATCCATTCTGAATTTGTTTATTATAGCTAACACTTGTAAGCTATCTGGGTTTTACTCATCCACTCCATAGGTGGATTGGGCTCTTGTATTTAGACATTGGACTCCTTGATTATCTTAATGGATGACTTGGGATACTGTACTGTACTGTACTTTGTTTCCCTTATTTATTTGGAGCTGTTGGTTAGATAATGTTGATGATTGGATCCTTCTTTGGTTACTTTGGTGTAGTATTTTTCTCCCTTCTTTACTGATCTGCATGGATGGTACATGGTTCATACTTCTTATTGAACCTGTAGATTTTGAAAGATATATTTATTTTAGAAGGATTCTCATTAATACCAAATATATTTTTATTGAAAGTTAGGAACAACTTATGCACTGGGGACTTTTGACTTTTCCTTAATGGTTTTAACTGCATTTATTTATTTATTTTTCATATAGATTGTATGCTAATGTTATTTGAAGTAGCACAATTGTTAAATAAGACAAGCTTAGGGTTTACCGGTTCTTAACCAGGGGAAAGTTACAAGATATAGATATATTCCCGTGTTGTACTTGTAGGGTCACCTGAACAATAAGGGTATCCCACTTGAGGCATCCTTCAGTCCAGACTCACAGTTCATCTTCAGTGGCTCTACAGATGGCAGAGTCCATGTCTGGAATGCTGAAACAGGCTACAAGGTAAGACTTTAATATATATTCTGTATTACCAATTCTGGTATGGGATTTTATTCTAGCATCTTTTTAGATTTCTAGTTACCCATAAAATTTTTATTCAACAGAGTTTAAGTCTAGTTTTGATGCACTACAGTATACATGTAAACCTCGATAAACGATGGGGTTAGGTTCCTGAAAACCCATCGCTAAGTGATATATCATAGATAGGGAACATTATAACATGGGGTTCAATGGGATACGTTCCCAGCCATTCCCCAAACACACATCTATCACCAACAAAAAAATTCCTACACTTATTAAATCAATAGAAAACAATTAAACAACGCTCAGCACATCCTGAAGAATAAGCCTGGTCATCATTACGTGTCCCCTTCAAGGTTAAGGGGTCTCTTTTAGGTGGAGTGAAGACGTTACTCTGACTCCCACACAGCGTCTGGGGAGTATCACGCTGCTTAATGTCAAGTTTCTACTCAGAGACACCATTGTCTTGGATGCCTTGGCCTTGTCAGACATTTTCAGTCACAAAAACAGAGCGAACGATGATAACTGCTTACATAATTTTCACAAAAACACAGAAAATATCACATCACAGTCACCATAACACAGTTCAATCTGATTATAAGATAAAAAACTGATAAGTACAGTCTACGATGCTGACCGATAATCATCGAACAATGCAGTGGTGGGTTTACGATTGACAAAGAACCAAGAGGAGGGCTGTAGTGCGCTGGTTGGCTGTGTGGTGACGTGTGGGTAGGCTGACAAGTGAAGGGAGAGATGCGCGGTGCATTGGGTTAAATATTGTTTCCTTATAAAATGTCCGACGATGTAGAAAATTATAATTTGCATTGCTTGAATCCTTGCAAGACAATGATTAATTTGAGTACAGTATATACAGCTAGACCCCGACTTACGACTGCTTCGACTTACGACCGTCGGGACTTACGACATAGATAATTTTTTTTTTTTTTTCCAAATGACACACGCATTTTCTATACCGAAACGTTTCCAGTTAATGTAGTGTCCATGTATAATTAGAAAATTATGGGGGCCCCATGTGCATTCAGCTGACTACATTAAAGGTAAGTGCTCAGTCTCACTGTATCCATTCCTCATTATTTATTACTTTTACTGTACTGTATTTCATTGTAGATTTTTTATTATTATTATTATTTTTTTTTTTTGTCTATGTCGGACTTACGACCATTCGGACTTACGACCATTCGGACTTACGACCATTCGGACTTACGACCTGGATTTGGGTCCCTAACCCCGTCGTAAGTCGGGGTCTAGCTGTAAAATCCATTATTTGTACTAGAGATAAAAAATTCCAACCAATGGATATTGATGGATACTGATGTATAGTGTATCGTTAAAGCTAATTTTTTTTATCGAACTGTTTATAGCGAGGTGGTCTTAATTTATGCCCACCGTTAAAGCAAAATGACGCTGAACGAGATATCGTATATTGAGGTTTACCTATATTGGTGAAACCACAAAAATATATACAGTGGTCCCTCGGTTAACGAACGCTGCGGTTAACGAATTACTTTCCATAAGAATCTTCATTTCGGTTAATGAACAAAAATTCGGTTAACGAAATTCTTACGAAAATGTTTCGACATGCTTTGGCTTGTTCACCAGTTGGAAGATTAGTCCGCCAATACAGAAATCGGTTCTAGGGCTTACATTTGTTAGAATTGGAGTAAATATCAAGAAGGTTGTACTATTCAATAATTTTCCAAGTTTTATATTAAAATTTGCAGTCATTTTAACACTTATTTAACATAATTGCAGTATAGGGAACTAGTTTTTGGTGTGCCCATCAGCCACTTCACTCACCCACCAAGGCCTCAGTTTGTATCTCTGTTCAGAGGAGGAAACATCTTGCTTGTGGGTCTCTTGAACACAGAGTATTTTTACGTTTTTACAGTACAATTATTGGTCATTCTGAAATTTATTTAACATATTAACAATATATAGTGCAGCGCAGTGTTGATTTAAAGAAAATATTCTTGAATTACACAAAGTGAACTTAAAATTTTATGGGTGAAATGATGGCATCAAGCATGGGGTGATTTCTCTTCCAACCCCACTTCCTTCTCTTCTCCCTTCTCCTTCACCCCCACTTCTAATTCCCATCATCATCATCATCATCATCAACCAGGAGCCTTCTACATACACACCTCAAAGTAAGTGTACTTTACTGCATTTTTTTTTACTTTGTATGTAATTTTCGGTGAGCTGGAACCAATTACCCAAAATCCCATTGAAACAATGGTTTTGGTTAACGAAATTTTTGGTGAACAAACGACCTTCTGGAACGAATTGTGTTCAACACAAGATGAAGTGCCTGATTCCATTTTCAAGCTTTCCCATCAAAATTATTTGGCATATGAAAACGAAAGGTCATAATTGGAAATGGGTGTACTGTATATTGTAGTACAGTATTTGTAAAAGAATTATATATTTACATTGTAATTTGAGTACAGTACAGGTGCCAGACCATTTATCCAGCTTCCAGGAAACCGGATTTACCAGAAAACTGTTTTTCTTTTTAACCTGGTTAGTTTTGAAGCTGGCAGGTTTGGCTGGCCACATTGTTTTCGTATTGGTGTTGCCACAGTGGCCAACCTCAGTTTTAAACCGCTGATGAGTATTTGCCCCTCTCTACTTTTTGTGGTTATTTACCCCAATTTATTATCAAATCATCTTTTAATGTCTAAAAAAGCTACCAGGAAGTCCACTTGCTTATGTAAAGTCCAAAATAATTTTTTTTTGCACTAACACCATGCATTACCGTAGTCTTTGTTTGCCATGATGGGTGATTCTCCTCACTCTCTCTCACCAGCATTTTTATGAGTAGCTTAGGACAGTATACTTACTCCCTAACTTCTCAGTACCCGAGAATGACTTATGAATATTGTGAATAGCATCTAATATTATATAAAATAACCATTATAAGTAATAATACAACTTCCCAAACACACATTGCCAGTCAGCTGCGAGATGGCTACATGTGTTGCCAGTGTTAATATAAAGAAACTATAATAGTTGTAGAAATATAATTTAATTACTCTAATGTGAATTAAAAATAAAGAAAATATAATATAAAACTAAATAAAAAAAATGAAAAGCATGGGTGTGTAATAGTGGAAAGTGAATATTTATGTGTGGAGGCAGTGGCAGTGGGCTGCCGTGCTGCCTCCTCCTCCCTTCCCCAGTGTCAGTCAGCTGGGTGACTGCTTGGCTGAGTGGCTGAACTGTGTCGCATCACTCAGAGAATGGTTTGAGTGTAGCAGGAGCTATTCTTTGTACCTAAAATAATAAATACTGCACCAATATCGTACTGTAATTTCTAACTACAAATTTTGTACCATAACATATTGTACTGCCACCCTTGGTGGAGGGCCATGGTCACCAACCCTCAGATGTAAGTATGGTGCCTTGATTGATTGACCGAGTGGCTCATATCTCTTGTAAGTGTTGGTCTCCAGTTTCTAGCCAGATTATAGCTTCTAATGCTGTTTATCTCAAGCAGGTATGTGTGCTGAATGCTGATCACACAGGACCTGTGCAGTGTGTTCAGTTTAACCCAAAATACATGATGCTGGCCTCAGGATGCACTAATATGGTATGTGGTGAAATTATTTTGTTACAACTATTCTTACTTCCCATTTTCTTCAATTTACCTGTGCATCACTCATTATTAGGACACTTCATCAAAGATGAAGGAATGCTATAGCAATCACCTCGTCCTTATGTTTGTCTACAAGTTCCTGTCACTAACTACTATTATAAAATGTTTCAGACTTTGTTTGTTCACTCTTTAAGGTATGTAGATGTGCCTTTTTAGGTCATGTGCCAGGCCTCCAGATTATAGCCACTGGTACTATTTGAGTGGAATCATGCTCATAGTGATTTTTTTTACAAGGCATGCACTCTTAGAGTGGGAAAATATGTGATAACACTGCAAAATTAGTAACTTTTTGTTACAAAGTGTCATCATTCCCTTTGTAAACCCCATTGCAAAGAGACTCTTCTAAAATGTATTTTGCAAAGAATAAGACATTCAGCTTCAAACTAATGGGTCTCCCCTATTATAGACTGTCTCCTAGAAAATGATCAGGCTTGTAGCTAAGCTAATTTGATTTTCAGAAAATGTGAAAAAAAATAATTGTTATCCATTTCAGGCACTGATAACACAATGCAGTACCTATACAGTACTGTACATTGCAGAAAATATAATTTTGTTTTCATAAAGGCTGTAACAGGAAAGTTTCTTCAGTGCATATCCTAAGGAATGGTTACAGTATACAGTAGAACGTCGATATAATGCATGATATACGTTCCAAGAGAGGTCGCTTTAAACCAAATGCGCACTAAATCAAAGTGTTGTTTCAATGGCAGAATTTAGTTTGGTACTCGAGAGAGAAACAAAATACTAAAAAGACTGAGAGTTTACCCAGATGCACCTCAGCTCATCTTCTAGAATAAACAAAATATTGTTTTTTGTTATATTATGGTAAAACAAACACTCATAAATCAACACAGCTAAAATTAAGGGATGCAAAATGGTCTGTTTACTGGCTGGGAAGATGTGGCGAGGGTGGGAGGTGAGGTGATATGTTTGACAGTTGATGTCAAGGTCTAGTTCTTATTTATTTATCTGTCCGTAAGAGTGACTTTAAGTTTTTCTTTTATAAAATGTCACTGAACTGACATGGGAGAATATAATTTACATTGCTGGAATTCTTATAAGATAGTGATTAATTTGAATATAAACATGCTATAGTTTGCACTAGACAACAATTTTAATAATCATTTAGTACATTATTTTGAGTACATGTACTTTACAGCTTTGCCCTTAGGACAGTGTAGCGTGCCCAGAGAAACATTAGGCGCAAATTTTAAAATATGATGAGCCAGATTGACTCGCTGAAAATAGGAAAGATTCGCTTTAAATTAAAACATTGTCCTTAATTGTGGGTGTCTCTTTAAATCAATAATCTTAAATTTAATCGCTTTAAATCGACGTTCTACTGTACACACATGGATTTGAAGAAAATATAATAAAAAACTCACTAGAAAAAGGAATTGCATGTGAGAAGTTCATGTTATTGTTAAAATTGTTACCATTACCCCAAAACAGAAAATTTCACAATTCAATGAAAATCTACTAACTCCACCCTCCTTGGATGAGCTTGAGCAAAGCTAGTGATCACTACCGGTATATTTATGTTACCCAGACTAATAAGGTTGCACTGACTTGGAGAATACAGTAATACAGTACAGGGTATATATATTTGGATAAAATAAAGGGGGAGGGTTTTCTGAGTGTAGCTGTCAGGAAGTATAGGAGGTCAGGCTCCCAAGCAGTCCATTTTTGCCGCCAGCAATCCAGTTCTGTTTCAAGACACTCTGTTGATGGAAGATCATTTACCATTGATTCTTTGTTCTTCAGAACCTTTTTCCTCCATTCTGAGTCATTCAACAATAAAGATGGAAGAAGACATAGCTTCAGAAGAACACGTTGTTGAGCTGGCAAGAAACGAGTTTGGAGTTCACAGAGAAAATGGACAATGAAAGGAATTGTCATGGTGCGATGGAAATATTCTTTGGGAAAATTTGTTGGCATGTTAGCTCTATTAAATTGTCTTCTACTTATACAAGATAGTGATGATGTAGGGGCATTGGCTGTTTCGACTAAGGCAACAGCTTTAGTGTACAGCGGGGTCGTGATAATTTGGAGGTTAGGTACCAGAAGACAACATGATTAATTAGGTTCCAAAAGCCAAAAAATACTGTAGCAAAATTGCTTTAATAAACACTAACATCATATATAATAAATACAAAATACAGTAACACATAGATATTATACAAAAAGTACTGTAGTTCTACACTATACAAACAGCTTCTTCTCTTCTCTTAATCATCTTCTGGGTGACACCATTACACCAACATGGAGACAGGCAGGCTGGCTGGTCACCTGTTTCCCTATGATGTAAACAAACTCAGTAACTCATCTAGGCTCGAGTGTGGGATTTTTTTCTCAGGATAATTTAATATTTTATGATCATGTTTTATAAACTTGGCACCATATGAACTTAAATAGTATAGGAATTATAGAGAAATTGCTACTGTCGTTATAAAGGGGTTGGGGGTCGATAACAGCATTCATACACAGTAGAAACTGCCCGAGGTGCAGATTTCTACATCATGATCACAGCCAGTATAGTATCACCTTACCCATAATAAGCAGTTTTAATTGTGTTTTGATTAGCTTTGTAATAAGTCATCCTATATTTAAGGATATGTATAAATAATATATGTTTGTAAGATATCTGTGTACAAGTGAAACCCTCACCCTGAGGGAGGAAATACCCAGTCCTGTATACAGGTACTCCTCGACTTACAAGCACCCGGACATACTACCGCCGCAGTCATATAAAATATTTTTCAAATTACGTATTTTCGAGTCCCAACGTTAGTGATCGCGCTGTGTACTTACAGTTTTTTTTTTTGTAATTCCCTTTAAAATTGTGCTAGCAAGCGTAAAAGTGAGAGTTCTCGTGGTGCTGAGAAGAAAAAGAGACACCCATTTTAGATTTTCTCTGTATTATTTTCACCTTTTCGACTTACGACCTGGTCGTCTGTCCGGAACCCCGTCGTAAGTCGAGGAGAGACTACAGTATATTGAGTTTTCTTTGCCTGTTCATAAGTCATATGCCATGTTGGTTGTTTGGTGAGTTACTTTGGTCTTTTTCCCTCAGAAGATGAACGTTGGCAAAATGAAAAGATGTTTTTAGGATTTTTACTTATTTTTAAATTTTGCATAATGATGAATTCAAAGTTATAATAACTATTAGTACTACTAATAGAAACATCTTTCCACAGGCATTTTGGTTGCCAGCTCTTGATGACATGTGAAGAGAGAGCAGACCTGCAGCTATGTATTTCCTCAATAAGAATGAAAAAAGAAGCTATCCGAGTTGTGTTAATCTTCTTGTGAGCTACTTGTTCATCCTTATCAGAAAATTGTGGGACAGCATTTGGATGCAGACTCTTGTTTGGTATTGGAGATGAGACATATTTTTTTGGATGGCAGCCAATTCCTTTAATGCTTTGGAAATAAACTGTATCAAGCAAGTTCAGGTTTAAGTTAGCTTTCATAATGACTATGATCATTTTGGGCCTTAAGGAAAATTACTCCTCATACAGTATGGTAATAATAAATGCTTGTAATCTCACAGTGATCTTAAATTTATGCTGATGAACAAATTTTGTCTAAATGTCCTCATTTTACCAAGTTGCCCTATTTGGGTACTTGGCTTACCAATGAACTTTTATGACCTATTGGTCATTCAATAAGTGACTTGTGAGATCCTCCCCACTAAACCCCCCTTCCCCCTGTAAAGGGCCTTCCTTGTTCAGAGGTTAATCTGCATTTTAGTAGCAGGTCTATTGTACTATTGAATCAGCACAGACTGCTATGGAACAATTACTTGTCCAGTTGAATGGGGATTTATGAATCAAACTCCAACTCCAGCCTGGTGGTTATATTATATGCCAGGGAACTATTAGGTACACTGGGTTGGTCTCAAACTCCTCAGTTGCTGTCATAAGTTCCATTCCACAAACCTCACGGTTCTCCTGCTGCTGGTGTATTGTCTGCATATATTTCCTACATTACACAATACTTCCTGTTGATCTCTTTGATGACTGAGTGTCATTTTCACACTTCTTGTAGCTATGCCTTAAAGCCAGGCAGCTCACGTAATACCAGTACCAAGTGGGGACTGGGATGTACCTTTCCTTCCCCACTAGGGGTTTACCAATCACCCTTCACATTCTTCCCATCACACTATCTGCATGTTAGGGTTTGCCTCCACTAGTTAAAGAGGATGACATAAATAGACTTAAGCAAGCTGAAATGATACTGGTGAGGTGGAAATGTAATGTGACACTGAAAGACAGGAGGTCCTGTTCAGAGGTAAGATATTGAAAATACTGTATTGGCAAAGTCCTGCATCAAGGCAGGTTGAGATGGTTTGGGAATGTGGAGAGAATGAAGGAGACCAATTGGGTCTTTAGGTGTATGAGCCTAAATATGGAGGGGTTTGGCCAAGAATGACATGGGGAGAAGGTGTAAGAAATAATATTAGAGTTAAGAACTTGACAAGAAAGACTGCAAGAGACCGTGCAGCATGGAGAACTGCCATCAGGTAACAGCATTTGTGGAAAATGGCCATAGAATGATGATGATGAGCCTGATTCCAGATTCAAAATGCACACAGCTCCAAGCTAACTAGGTGACGGTCATTAACAGTGCAACACCAGTCTTATTCTCCCCTGACTACTGCTACAAAAAGCTAAATGTCAAAGACCCTTTTGATAAAGACATTTAAGGTTTAGTCTGAAAGAAATATTGCAGTTGTAGGTGTTTTCTCGCATAAGACTGATACGATAATCTCCCTGTAAGCGGGAATCTACGTTCCCGGACTTTCCATTACCCTGAAAAAGAAAATTGAACATTCTGAGAAAAATCTGTCCGTCCCGGTCATTTGCATGAATTTCTGAGACATTGCATTTTGCGCCGATGGCTAAGTCAGGTAAGCATTTTGGGTAGGGATGATCTGTAAATTTCTCTGAATATATAGCCATGAATTTTGAGTACCACCCATGTTTGTATTACTGATAGGTGGTTCAAAGGCCTTTCTGCATCCCGGGGGAACATAAGCTGAGATTATTACTAGAAAATGCACTCACTGGATCAGAATGTAACACTTAAAACCTTTAAAAGTTGATATAATGTACAGTTATTCTTTCATTCATTATGGCACTACTGGTTCATTTGAAGTAAATTATGATAAGTTCTTCATTGGAGATGAACTACTGTAGGTTGTATTGCATTCCTGGTTTATAACATTCTGATTTGTTAGAATTCTGATTATTTACTTTTGGAAGAGCCAGTATTGTGCTGCAAATCATGTGGGGTGGGGATAAATTTTGGTCACTGTATAAAAGTACCGAACAGTACGAATTCCTATGATAAGTAGCATGAAGAGTTAGATGGTTGTAGCTTATATACTATAGATTGAGAGTAGAATCTGCATGATGTTTGCTCTACCAAATATCTTAAGGATTTATATGAATCCCTAATCCAATTGGTTATGTGATCTCATGACTTTCACATACTTTTCCTGATAATAGTGGTGCTGAACGGGCTAAACAGTGTGAAACTGTCACTACTGAGTTCTAGATGAACTGGAATAGGGGGCTATTGGAAATGATCTTTGTTTGACAGGTATTAGAAAATATTTTTCTAATTAAAATAAATTTTAGAATCAGCATGACTTCATGTGAGTGCTTAGATACTTGAGGTGCTGCTGCACATAATACAGTACAGTTTAAATATAATGTTTCAGATGTCTCCAGAGTTCAGAGAGTTACTTGACAAAGGTGGTTGAATGTTTAATTTTTTATTTGTTTTTTTAAATTCTACAGTACAGTATAGTCTTCATTTACGCGGTCAATTGAACCCGTGGAGGTCCGCGTAAAATGAGAAACGCGTAAACGAAATAACAGAACATATGGGATTAATTGAAATAGAGACTGGGCCTACCCCCAAACTACACTTTTTCCGACACAATACTTACGTTGTAGTAAAAATAACATCTTAATTTTATGATGGTATGCACACACAATTAATATTTAAGAGAAATATCAATAATATTAGGTTTTTTAACACTTACGTTAGTAGAAAAGATGGCTGGGCACACGGGGATGGGGGGTTGGTTCCGAGGCAGAGGGCAGATTATTGGCCCTCACCTGTATCACTTGTATCAATTGTATCACTATCCACCACAGAGGCTTGCAGGGCCTCTTTGTCAAACCCCTCAAAGTCCATATCCTCACTATCACTGACTTGGGCCGGCTGTGGTGGGTGGCGGGTGAAGAACTCGGTAATGTTTTGTTGACTGGGCGACCTTGTGCGCACCCTGCCCGCGCCGCTTCCCACGTAAATGATGGAATGAACCGTGTAAATAAAAATTGTCTGTCTGGCAAGGTGCTACGTAAATGACCAAACACGTAAACCAAATCCGCATAAATCGAGACTATACTGTACAAGGCTTCAAGTGCAAAAAAAACAGAAGTTATCTATGCCTATGAAATGGTTTAAGCTTGAAAATATAGTTGCCTGCAGATTTAGTGTTCCACCCTTTGGTAGCCATTGTCTACATGTGGCAGCATCACGTTGTAGGGTGAGACATGAGTTTCTAACAACATTTACAAAAGAGATTTATTTATAAAAGGGCTATTGAATGTAACATCATTTATGGAAGTAAATAATGTCTAAGTAATAAAGTCTTAATAAAATGAATAAGTAATGTGACAAGCTTTTAAGTACCTGTGGTCTGTATAACACAACTCATCATACATTAACTTGATTTTATTCACAGCCAGGTGAGTGGGGACGTTTATGTGAGCTTAGTATAAGGGGGTGGATTATGCCATCAACGAGCAATGTTCAAGTTAAAGAAAAAACAATCTAAAACTAATAAAATCTTAAGTAATAATTCATCGTAGGTAAAAGTATTGTACTGTACTGTATTATGAAACAATTAGAAACACAATGAAGTCATAATGGTTACATTGTGTATCATATTATGTACTAATACCTGATAATTATTGAAATATAGAAAACTAAGACTAGCAGATATGCTGACAGAGTGGGGTTAAGATATGTAGCTGCGGTGATGGAAGTGTCTCAAGCTTCGGTTTAACTTTCCTTTCATAATTTTAGTCTGCGATATGATGGTAAAACTTGTGGATTTTGAAACTACCTGCACTTACATATTTTCATGTATTATTCAAGTAAAACCTTCCCAGTATTGGTTTGCCTAAGTCCACACCACCTCTGCAATCCATCTCATTACCCAAGTCTCATTTTCCAAGTTGTTGTTAATATTGAAACAATGTTTATACAGGAGGAAAACTGTATAAAGGAAATGTAGCCCAGGGGTTAGGGGTTAAGACAAGTATGTACTGTACCTGGCTTTAGGGTTATTTTCAGTGTACCTGTTGCTCTTTGACTTTCAAAGCAACCCACTGGCTGGGGTTGGAGCTTGCTTCATAAACTGGTTCTATCGAGTACGTAGCTGCTATGGCCTCTGCACTGTTTGATAGAACAGTTTGCCTGCTGCTTGAAAGCAGTTTAACCATATGAACGATTGTATGCAAGTGTGGAGATCTCACAGGTCATGTATCTCTTCACCTTAGCCATAAAATGTGATTTCATGCTTCAGTTCATGTTTCGTTTCTTTGGTAATCGAACATATATTTACAGACTTTTATTTATTTTTACTGTAGATCATGAAACATGATCATGTCCTCAAAAAATGTTTTTGGTTGCATAAACCACCATGTTTTACCTTACTAAATGTTCAAATTATTAAAATAGCATTAAAACTCAAATGAATAATTACAAGGACTTATGAAAGATGCTACAGTATGCTTGTTTATATTGAAGGATTAAATAATATGGATGAGTAATAAATATATAATAGTATTGAATATGCAAGCTCGGTATTGTTTTTGCAGTTCATCTTAACTACATTATAAAAACCCTTCTATTGGATGTTTCTACTGCCATTCCTTATGGTACATTTCATCTGTAAATTTTGTATTAAGTATTATATAGATTAAAAATTTTCCAATTTTTAAATGAACTTAAGATTGCCAGTGATATTTTCATTACCTATGGAATTTCATGAAACAACCTCAGATTTCTTTCAGTGATAAAGGTTATCCATCTTCATCATTATACTGTAATGAGAAACAACATTAATGTTGATTGAAAGATGATATGTGTTTGCCCTCTTATTGTCATTTCTGTGTACTGTATCTGATTTGGTGGTATATGCAGAACCTTTGCCACTTACCACAGTTTCTATCTATGGATTCTAAAC